AATTCGGTGGTTCATCAGTTGCATCCAACACCCAGGTCTCATTATTTCAAGTGCCCTCCGTAATCCCCATGGGAATGTTGATTCCTCCTGTCCTCTGGAACTAGTTGAAGGCCTTCTCTAGATGTGTCAAAGTAAAATGTTTCTGTTTCAGTCTGTTCTAGACTTTTCTTCTGTCTCCTGGCTCTGCCTTGTTGGCTGATCGAATCTGGATGTCCCAGAACAGACACTGAAATGGTCACTTCCCTGCCCAAGGATTTGAAAAACAATTTTCAAATAATTCTAAGTCTCTCTGCTGTTGTTCAAAATGTGTATTTTTAGTAGTATTTTCTCTTCTGCCACATTTCTATAGCTCTAGCCATCTCTATTTCTAGTTGCACAGTCCTTAATTACTTCAGGAGCTTCACTGTACCTCTGTTGCACTCTGAAAAGTGCCTCCACTTGTGACTTACTCCTCAGGAGGAGAGACACTCTCTGACTTCATGCCATTGCATCTCTCCATTCTCCTCTCTGCTCCAAATTCAGCCTTGGCAGTTTCAGTAAAAGAGAGAGGCAGTCTTACCCACTTTAGTTTTGGGCAGGAAGAACAATGTTCATAGATCAAGAGTAAACACAGAAACACAAAAACTCACCAGTCTGGATATTAAAGAGTTGTGCCCTTTCCCACACAGAATTCTTTTTTTTTTTTTTTTAAAGATTTTATTTATTTATTTGAGAGAGAGAGAATGAGAGAGAGCAAGCACATGAGAGGGGGGAGGGTCAGAGGGAGAAGCAGACTCCCTGCCGAGCAGGGAGCCCGATGCGGGACTCGATCCAGGGACTCCAGGATCATGACCTGAGCCGAAGGCAGTCGCTTTACCAACTGAGCCACCCAGGCGCCCCCCCACACAGAATTCTTGAAAGTTCCCGTATCACAGAAATGTGGGATTTCAAGCACTTCCACTTTCTTTGAAACACCAGTCCCTCTGGATGAGGTTTATTAACTCACACTTTTTGCCATATTTGCTCTTCACATCCTAGCCCACTCAATTCAAGATCCTGAGCTCTTAAGCAGTCTCCTGAGTAACAGATGAATATCTGTACGCTTGTCCAAAAAGCTTGGTTTCCGTTTAGTAGAGACCTTGGACCCTGAGGTTTTCTTGACTATCCTTCTTCACTGCCTCAATCCCTGGCTATCTGTGCAATTATGATGAGATGGTATTTTGAAACATCAAACAGTGTCTGCTCATATCTTGTTAGCATTAAACTATTTCAAGAAAGAAATCACCTGCTCCCTAGAGACTGACCTTAATTATGTAAATTTTGATTCTTAAAACATTTCTATTAGTTTCTATAAGAATAATATATTATTTTAAGTACATCACAATTAAAGTATTTCTAATTCTTTTTTTTCCAGGCAATTTTAGGAATTAAATTTATAGAAGTGCTGGGGCACCTGGCCGGCTCAGTTGGTGGACCATGTAACTCTTGATCTTGGGGTTGTGGGTTTGAGCCCCACATTGGGTGTAGAAGATTAGTTTAAAAATAAAGTCTTTTAAAAAAATTTTAGAAGTGCTAATTTATCTCTATAAGCCAATCAGAACACAGCTCCTTTAATAAAATAAACTTCATAATTTAACTTATTAATATCTTCCATATGTAGGACATCTCATAGTCATATAATAAAAGATAAAGCCCTCCATGAATAACAGACACATAGACACACAGACATATGGAGAGTTTATGGCTTTGATTCTACAATTTCAGCCATGGGTCAAGAGTCAACACAGAAGGGTCAACACAAAGCGGCTGCCTTCAGCTCAGGTCATGATCCCAGGGTCCTGGGATCGAGCCCCGCATCAGGCTCCCTGCTTGGTGGGAAGCCTTTTTCTCCCTCTCCCACTCCCCCTGCTTGTGTTCTTTCTCTAGCTGTCTCTCTCTCTCTGTCAGTTAAATAAATAAATAAAATCTTTCTTTAAAAAAAAAAAGAGTCAACACAGAAGCACAAAAACTCACTAGTCCAGATACCAAAGACCTGTTTTTCCCAGCGGGCACAGAATTCTTGGGCTCAAAATAGACAGACAGACAAGACTATTAAACCAGATTCTCTGCTATCTCTCATTCAATAGAAAATAGATCTCTAGAAATCATTAATCCTATTACAGAGATCACCAATGGTCAGACCATATTACCAAATTGCTGATTACTGCTGCCACTAGAGGGACATAATCTATCGTCAATATATAAACCAAAACACAAAACTGGTAGAGAAGAAAATTAAAATTAGGAAAACAGAGACTTAAAAAAATTCTGTTGAGGGGCGTCTGGGTGACTCAGTCATTGAGCATCCATCTCTTGATCTCAGCTCCGGTCTTTTTTTTTTTTTTTTTTTTAAAGATTTTATTTATTTATTTGAGAGAGAGTGAGTGAGAGAGAGAGAGATCGCGAGCAGTGGGGAGGGGGTTGAGGGAGAAACAGACTCCCCACTGAGCAGGGAGCCCGACTCGATGCCAGGACCCCGACTCGATGCCAGGACCCCAGGATCATGACCTGAGCCGAAAGCAGATACTCAACCAACTGAGGCGCCCCTCAGCTGAGGCACCCCTCAGCTCGGGTCTTGATCTCAGGGTTGTGAATTGGAGCCCCGCTTTGGGCTCTGCGCTGGGCATGGAGGCTACCTAAAAAATTTTAATTAAAAAAATTCTGTTGTGCTTCAGATTCACATGGGAGCAAGAAAAGAAATACCTGGACTTGGCAATCCATGAGGCACACCTCTTTGGTCATAAGTTCATCTGTTTCTGTCAGATGAATACATTGGGCATCTTGGTGGAAATTGCAAAACTGTTAAAGGATAATTCTAAAAAAAAAAAAGTAAAGTTATACAAAATGATTTTATTTAACTTATTGAATAAAGGAATCAGAGAGATGTTACAGTCTGTTCCAGGAGAATCCAAAAAGCAGACAATTTACAGATCAGTAATATTGACTTTGCAAATGGATGCAAAACTGGCTTTTCTACAGAAGAGGAGAGTTCTCCCCCCATTGAATAGAAATCATTCACGTGTTCATAGATAATAATCATTGGAATTACCATCAGTTCTCGACAATTTAACATTAATCACTACAGAATTCTAAAATAGTCATTCAAGATAAAGGTGAATATCTTTTAGGATCAGACAATCCTCCAAACTCCAGCATTCTAACATCCATTAATCTCTTTTTATTATTTCAAAGTGCTACATTTCTCCTACACATCACAAACCAGAGGTTATAGCATGTACTAGAGGGAGAAGTATCTGTTCGTTCACAGATCTGCTCTAATTCTGGTCCTGTGTTAACCATTCATTCAAAAAGACCTTATCTACAATCTATTGTGTACCTAGCACAGCACTAGGTGAGGTAAATTTTGAAAATAATGGGTCATTGTCCTTGCTCATAAGATACTTACAATCTTATCACAGAGTTAAGACATACAAGATACCAGTCAATTCATTTAATAAACTGCAAAAATTTGAGTACAACCAGAAAATAGGGCTGTATAAAATAGAAATACATCTGACCAGCACTATTCATGCATTATGTATTTGTGAATTTTGCCTACTTACTAAAATGTATCTGTAACTCCAAAATCAATACTTGCAAGTGTTTTTTTTTTTTTTTTTTTGAGAGAGAGGGAATCTTAAGCAAGCTCCACACTCAGCATGGAGGCCCACAGGGGGTTCGATTTCACAACCCTGAGATTGTGACCTGAGCCCAAATCAAGAGTCTGATGCTTAACGGACTGAGCTACCCAGGTGCCCCCGCAAGTGCTTTTGCAATCATTCATGGACAAATGCAGAGTGGTGAAAAGTTTAGTTGCCCAACCTGCATGTTCCCAGGTGAGGTTGAAGGAAACGAAGCTTGCCTTCTTGTTTCAGCTCCCACACTATAAACAAGTGTCCCCTTCACAGTCTATTTAGTACCATGTTTTTCACGTTTTTGTGCTTTTTGTTGGTGATTCTGTTTAAAATGGCCCCCCAAGTGCAGTTCTGAAGTGCTTTCTAGTGTTGCTAAGCACAAGACGTCTGTGATGTGCCTTGCAGAGAAAATACATGGGTTAGATAAGCTTCACTCATGCCTGAGTTATACTGCTATGTTATGTTATGTTATGTTATGTTATGTTATGTTATGTTATGTTATGTTATGTTATGTTATGTCATGTATCGATTAGGTGACTAAAATATGACCAGAGGCTCACGGGAACCCCTATATTTCCACTAGAGGCAATGGTTCAGTATTTGCTAATTCAGTTGGCAGTAACTTTAGAGAACATAACTACCACAAATGATAGCAATCAACTATATTTATACTGAGGGAAAATGCTTTTCAAATGCATCTGATTTTCTCATTAAGATATGAGAACCAAAAAAGCCTTCCCGATAAATTACTATGCTGCTCTCCCAAAGAGCCTACAAAAGCAGTGATTCTGCCTTCCAGTACCCTTTCCCCACCTCCCCAGTTTATTCTTCCGTCTTCCTCAGTTTCTCTGTCTCTGTCCCTCTCGGAAGGGTCTCCGCTTAAATAATGCTTTCTAATAATCTAGAGTCCTATACTAAATTTGAGAAGACACACAGGACACACACATACACTTAAAAGTGACCCCTGCGGCTGTGTTCCCACAAAATTAACTGCAAAAATCCCTGGTACCACAGTTCTACGGGAACAGAGACAAGGGTATTTCCCCACCTCGGGCCAATCCGCCTTTTGAATCTCCCAAGGATATAATAAAAATACGCTAAAACATATACTTTTTTCTTCTTAGCTCTCACGCAGTCAACCACCCCGTACCCTCCCGTAAGCCTTTACAAAGCTGTTCAACCCTTGGTTCAGTTCTTGTTTCTTTAAGACAGAGGTCGGTTGTTTGCCCTATTCCGAAATGGCTGCGCAGGCTTCCCCACACTCTGCGCATGCCACTTGAACGCAATTCGGTGTTGAAGCAATTCCGAGACTTTCGCGGCGCAAGATGGGGACTTGGCGGCCGGCGAGCCTGAGCTTCCCAGCATGCCTTGCAGGCGGGCCCGGAGTCCCGACGTCTAGTGATGGGGAGCCCCGGGTGCTTTCGGCCGCCAGATCGGGTGTAGAGGTTGAAGCGGAGCCCCGGGCCTGGGAATTGGACGCCCGCAGGGGGGAAGATGGAAGCGTGGCGCTGTGTGAGGAGGGGCTACGGCCGCTGTGTGGTGGGGAGAGGCCGGTCAGTAGGGCTGGGTGGCAGGAGGGAGGAGCGGGGGCGGGCGGCCCGGGTTAACCTGGGGCGGGGCGGGCTGGGGGAGAAAGGAGGAGGAAGAGGGTCCGGGCGGCGGTGCCGCGGGGACGAGCCTCCGGAGACCCCGAGGGATAGGTAAACCCGGCGCGCAGCCGGCGGGGCGCTCAGCGGACGGGGGCCGGGCCGGGCCCGGGGCGATCGGTCGCCGGCAGGGCTCGTGCCTTCCCGACCTGGTTGGGCCTTGGAGCCCCGGCCCGCTTCCCCTGCCCTGCCTCGGAGCCAGCCCTAGCCCCCCGATCGCCGGCCTCCTTCCAGGCCTTAGCACCCGCAGGGAGCTGAGCGTCGGCGGGGAGGCGGCCGGTCCGCCGTAGGTCCCGGGGCGGCCTGACCCCGAGGCAGGCGCGCGCATCGCACGCACGCCCAGGGGTTTGTTTGTGGTGTCAGTGTCTCTCCCACTTCAGTCATTTATATACCAGACTTTACGGTTTATTACCAAATTCTCGTTCCACACTTCTGTGTACTACATTTTTTCTTGAAATTGTCTCTCTCTCTCTCTTTTTTTTTTTTAGAAAGGCACTTCAGTAATGCTGCCTATATTAGCGTCGCCCTAAGCAGTATCCACGAAACCTTGGGTTTGACGTACTCATTATGGGTTTTTTCTAATAAATACTTAGATGTGAAAAATCAAAAAGTTTCATTGTGTATCATGTGAAATGGACTGGTGTACCGCACCTGGGAAACACAACACTGTATTAATTATTATATAAGTTACGGGGATCTGGTTTTAATCTATAGTCCGGGGCTTGATGACAATTAGTTCAGTGTTTTCCTGAGTACCAGCTGTATGCCAGGCACTGTGCTAGGCACTTGTGGGGGGAGAGACCGGGTGAAAATGAATAAGAAAGCTCTGGCCTTGAAGGAGCTCATCATCTTGAGAAAAAGACGTCTATATAAGTAACTACAAATATAGAGAATAAGTTTTGTAGCACAAGTTTTATATTTCAGTACGGTAGCCTATTAGGATAGAAAAGATATGGAGCAAGCACCTAAATCTCTGTGGCTTTCAGAGTTGTCACAAAGCAGAATAATCTGCCCATGTCATGCCTTTAAAGATTTACAATTAAGTTGAATTTAGAGAACGATTTGAGAATGCATAAACAACAAAAATATATCATAAAAAATTTAAATGCCTTTAAAATGAATATATAAAAGTCAAGTAACCGTAAATACAGTTTAAGCAAAATTTCTTCGGTGGTAGAAGTGGACAATATTAACACTATCTTGGAAGTGTACCTTTAATGAATTCTGGGAAAGGATAGAAGTCCTCTGAATCCAAAATCTGGCCAGAATAGTATGGTGAGAAGATGGTGCTTAAGTTGCATTGTTTCTTAAGAGAGCTGGAGAGCAACATATTTATTCAAGTTAATGGTAACACTACTTTGGAGATATTTTGGACGATCAGTACATTGGTGCTGTTGGGTTTGAAGTATTGGTGAATTATTAATAAGTAATCGCTATCCCATTTCATTACCCTCAAGGAGAAGCATGCCTTAAAAAAATAAAAAAGGATGGAAAAATAAATTATCCATCTACTGATTAGCCAGAGAGGTAGTTTTGTGAAGTTGTGATAGGTTTTTGTTTTCTTAGCTATACAAATGTTTGGAAAATGTAATCTTGGTGTAAAAAGCTGCTCAGAAACATGTTTCTACTCTAAACCCAAGTTGGAGGAGAGATTGGCTTTAATTGTATTCAGCTTAAGTGTTCCATATTGAATCAAGTATTACATTTGCTGTGGATTTTATTTTTGCATAGAGTTTACTAGATATTAGAAAGCTACTCTGAAAACCAGTTTGATGGTTGGTTAATCTCTCAGGTGAACTGAGGACTTTTTGAAGTGTGTGTGGTATTTTGGGAGGCTGGTATTCTATGTTAAGTATTTCGAATACCATTCATAGGTGTTTAGGGAGAGTTTTGAGACTGTTGCTACTAATAATTAAATCATGGCTGTTCCCCTCCCACCCATCCTTCATGATTTAGAAGTCAGATTTTAAATATTAGACATTATCTTCCCTTGAGGAAACAGATTTGGATTTTGGGTGCTGTAGCGTGAACAAATAGTGGTGCCTCAAGGAGTGTATTTATTTCTTTTAGATACCCCATGTTACCCCATCACCAGAAGAGTCTGGGCAGAGATTGGACGACACCGTGGGAGAATCTGCAAAGGTGTTGCTGGAACAGACATATTTCTAGTTGTATGAGGTGGCCTGGACATTATTCTCGTGCTCCTTACCCATACTTCAGTAGTAGGCATTTTTCACTAAATTGGAGACCACCTTGTTTGTTTGAGTCTAGAACTCCGTTTCAGTACTGGAACTGGAGACCTGACAACCTGAGCCAGACCTCTTTGATTCATCTCTCTAGTTACATCATGAACTCTGAGGGAGATGAGCCTTCATCAAAACGAAGAAAACACCAAGGTAAAGGTGACGTTTATCTTGGTGCAGAAATAGAAGCCGTAGAGTTATTGAAACTTTACTATCTAATAATCCTTAAAACCTCCTCCGGATTTTGGAGGGGTTTAGTATTTATTTTCAGCTAGTAGTTTTCCGTTAGGAAAAAGGAGGTGATTTTTTTTAACTTAAGTCTTTATTTATATCTATTTTTATTTTTTATTGTGTATTCCTGGCAGTAAATATAGAAGAAACTAGAGAGAGAATAAGGTTGGGAAAGAATGTAGGGCTAAATTAAAACATTAAATTTAATTTAAGAATAATTATCAAATCCATTGTTTTTAAAACAGAGGTCCTTAGACTTCCTAGAAATTGGTATATGTTCTTGGGAGTTCACATATCTATTTAAAAAATTAAATTTCATGTTTTTATTTATTTATTTTGAAGATTTTATTTTTAAGTAATCTCCACACCCAATGTGGGACTCAAACAACCCCAAGATCAAGAGTTGCATGCTCTACCAACTGAGCCAGCCAGTTTAATGCTAACTTTTTTATGTAAGACAAAAGGATATTCTTAAATAGATGCAATCATAAATGAAAGATATTTTCTTACAGAATAAGAGTTTAGCTTATTCAGTATATTTCTCATAGTGGGTTCTGTTGATATAATCTTGAGAGACTGTGGGAAGTTTTATCTTTTAAGAAGGGGATGACATCTTATTCAACTTGGGAGAAATAATATTTTTCTAATTATGTTGATCATTTCTAGTTTTGTCATTCTTCTTACTCCACACAATTCACGAGACTTCCTTTGTGCTGCCAGCCCTGCTCCTCCCTCAAGTATATATGAATTACCTAAGTAGAATTTTGAGTTGTCTTTCTTACGAGCTGTGGTTTTCAGTGAAGATAATTCCTCTGAAGGTATTTGGAAATAGACTCTGTAGGTGTTAATGTGTAGGGAGCTCACATAAGTTTGTCAAAGGAAAACACGCAAAGTGAGTCTCACTTGGAAGTCAGAGCTAGGTTAGCTCGAAGATTAGTTCGTGATCTTTTAAGTGAAAATTCTGCTACACATTTGAGTAGAAATTTTAAGCACTGCAAGTGAAAATCTATTTTTATAATACTTGACCACAGCATGTGTTCATCAACAAATATTCGTTTGAACGAATGAAAGGTGTTAGAGGCATTAAAATTAGGTTCCTACGAACAGTCAGTCCATAACCTGTAAGTCTAGGGCTGTATGAAGACATGAGATTGCTTTTCCTTCCCGTATTCATTGTTCATCAGGTCAGCACACTGCTCTCTGGTTTAGCCTTTTGTAAATCTGGTGTGCTCTTAGGTGGAGCTGTGGCGTACTGACAAGCATGGGCTCGGGAACCACTCCCTGCTCTCATTCTGCTCCACCACTAATTGTGTGAACTTGGACAGGTTATGGAACCTCTCTGCTCCTTGGTTTCCTAGTGTCAAATAATGCCCACTTTGAACGCCTGTTGAGGATGAAATGAGACATGTCAAAGTGCCTAATACACTGTCGGCTTCATAGTAGGTACTCAGAAAATCGTGGTGGTTTTCCCTTTAACGGATGGGGGATTACATTTACATACTGATAAACTTTGATTGCGACCTGACTCTTTATATGTCCGTTCTTCCTAGGTGTTGTGAATAAGGAAAATGCTCTTCGTTAAGCCATATTTGTGACTTCCGATAATTCACTAATACTTTTCCATCAAGAGAACAGCCTTCTAACTTGCCTGTCACTTTAAAGTGGCATTTGAAGGATTTGTGTGACACAATTATGACTTTTTAATTAGGCACCCTAAAAACCTGATCAGGCCTATTGCTTACTTTCTTTGATTCATCTGTCTTCTCTGCTGTGATCACCTTGTTCCTCCTGACATGGAAGGTATATAAGCTTTTGTAGTGTGAATTTATGTTGTGAAGTATATGAAGGCCAAAGACTGTCATCTCTGTCAGGCGTCTTCAAATTGTCTTCCATGGAACCCTAGCATTCAAACACATTTCTGTATGTTTATTAAAAGCAAATGTGGTCAGGAGAAAATATGTATTTACCCCATCACCCCAGCTCCAGTGTACCAGCAGTTGATGGTCATGACATGAAAAGTAATGCGAGAGTTGTACAAAGTCTAGAAGTTTGAAAGCCACTCTATTCATTAGGTAATCTGATGGTTTCAGTTATTTCAAAAATGGAATTGCAAAAAGAGTTGGCTTACAAACGCTTGTCCCGACAATACAACCTCAATGATTTATGTGCCCTTACATATACATATTTTACAAGAAAATACGAACAACTTTTCTGGACCTTCATCTTTCATATTTTACTATGGTGGTGACACCAGGATAGTGCTTTGTGATGGTAGCCTGCATTTTGTTTGCATGACTAGAGTCCTTTGCATCTCATATACATACAAAGACTATGATTTGTGGCTAAAACCATCATAGACAGTCCCCAATTTATGAATGAATTGTGTTCTAGGTAATTAGTTCTTGAGAATCAGTTGTCAGCCATTGTTTCTGTTTTCCCCATGGAAACTGTTACAAATCTCAGAGTAGTCCTGCAGAGTCAGTGCAATTAGCTGTAGTTCTGGGCCTTTGCAGGTAGGATTCTCCATATTCGGTGCAGGATACAGGAGGGGATAGTTTCCGTCCCTTTCCTGGGTATAGGACAAGCTCCAGGCTAAGTTCTGTAATCCTGGAAGGCTTTTGTTTTGTTTGGTTTTCTTTCCGTCCACCTTTTTTTCTTTACCCTTCTCTTCAGGCTCTTAGTACCTTCATGGTATTGTAAGTCTCCAATACCTCGTTCCACCCAGACCTCACTATTCATAAAAATGATCTTTCTCTTCTACCCTCTGGTCAAAATGTCTACTCCCTCTGGGAAGCTGCTATCAGCATTTAGATTTTGAGGAAAACAATCTTATTAAACTTGTTTACCAGAGGGTATTTTTAAATTTCACTTTATTGGCATTCTCATGGAGTATATTGATACTCTGATTATGAATATATCATCATTGTGGAAGATTTAGAAAAATCACCTACAATCCTTCCACTCAGATAACTGCTCTTAAAAATACTGGTATATTTCCTTTTGGTCCGTTTTTCCTGTATGTATAGAATTATTTTTCCTAATTTAATCTTTAATTGGTAGAATCTTAGGCATTGTAATCCAGTATAGTGAAAACCTTCATGCAGGAAAAGGGAGATGTTCTAAGGCTGAGGTTTTTCCTGTAAATTTAACCATACTTGAAAATCGATCTCCAAATCTGTTTTCCCAAGTTCTTCCCATTTCTTGTTTTCCCCTTCTATTGAGCTCATAGAATCTCTAAAAGTTCCTCATTTTTCTTCATGGCTTCCATGGCAGTAAGAGTATCCTCTTTCATGGTGGGGTGAGGGAGACAAGATCAAAGGGGCGTATGTGTGTATATTTGTGTGTGTGTGTTGTAGGTCATTTCTAAGTCGAGGACTGCCTGTAGTTGCAAAATCTCATGCTTTTTGATTCTCTTTTCATCACTGTCAGGGTACATGTGTCTTTGCAGAGTGTAAACCATCACACATTCCTGGTTGCTGCATGCTGGGTTCTTCAATCAGCCCTTGTCATTTACTAGCATTCTACAACTATGTTATCTTTAACTTTTGCTTTGGTGTGCAGTAAAAAGATTTCTTTGTTCATTTTGTCTGCATTGTTCCACTAAATACTGCTTCCATTTATTGCCATCATACACCCTTCATTCATGTCTAAACCAGAATTCTGAGATGAGTTATTTCTAGAATTTAATCATTTGATAATCTTATCTTACTAATAGGAAATAAACTACGGTGTGAAATCATCTTATTGAAAAGCCAACTGTGACATACAGATATAGTTGACCCTTGAACAGCAGTCGAACTGCGTGGGTCCACTTAAACGTGTACTTTTTTGATAAGTACGGTACAGTACTGTAAATGTATTTTCTTTATGATTTTCTTAATATTGTCTTTTCTTCAGCTACTTTATTGTAAGAATACCGTATAAAATACATATAACATACAAGTTATGTGTTAATCTACTATTTATGTTATTGGTAAGGCTTCCAGTCAACAGTAGGCTATTAGTAGTTAAGTTTTGAAGGAGTCAAAAGTTTTATGCGGATTTTCAATTGCACAATGCCCTTAACCCTCCCCTCCACCCCCCACCCCCCCGCATTGTTCAGTGGTCAACTGTATGTTATCATGGTTATAAAGTTGCTGAGCGTGTCTGGCAGAACCACTTCTTAACCTTAAGTAAGTGAGAAACTATATAGATCTAGCTTTATTAACACGCTCTCAGTCTCCATAATGACTTGCTGGATCCTTTTAAACTTGTTTTATACCTGTTGGTCAGTCATTATATCATTTTACTGCCTTCATAATCAATTTGATGACAACTTCTGTTACTTAGTGCTATGTTGCCATTTCCTAGGGGGAAAACATTCTGTTCATTACCTGTGGGAATTTTTAAAAGGCAAGAAAAAGCTTACAAGCAGGAAAATATTTAGTCTGTTTTTCATTAATTCTTTATATTTTGTTCAATCTATTTTAACAGGCACAATACAACGACATTGGGAATATATATGTAACCATAATAAAGACAAGACGAAGATCCTAGGAGACAAAAATGTTGACCCCAAATGTGAAGACAGTGATAACACGTTTGACTTTTCAGTGATGTCCTATAATATACTTTCACAAGATTTATTGGAAGACAATTCACATCTTTATAGACACTGCCGGCGGCCAGTTTTACACTGGAGTTTTAGGTTTCCCAATATTCTGAAAGAAATTAAACACTTTGATGCAGATGTAAGTGCAGAATATCATCAAAATTCTTCACATAAGAAAAGCTCATTTGTGAACTAAATGGTTTTATCCCTTTTGTTTGTGGGGTAAGAAGGGAAGGTGGTTTTAAATATAGTGATGGAACACTTTTTAACAATGTATCATGACTTCCAAAAAGTCATTTGCTAATCATTAAATTTTCAAAAAAGATCCAAAAAGTTGGTATAAATAATCATTATTGGTATAAATAATCATTAAATTTTCAAAAAAGATCCAAAAGTTCTGCTTACCAGTCAGTCTTGAGACAGGGACTGGCAATGTATTAAATATTCAGTAAGTATTTCCGTTGATTTGAAATGTAAGTCATTCCTATAAAAATCTAGATACACTCAAAGAAATCACCTTAAGAAAGGACTAGTAGGATTTAGTACTAATGAACATTGTAATTCAGGAAAAATATCCCAACATGTAAATTTAAAATACTTCTTTTGGGAAATACCAGTTTTGGATAGTAAGAGAGAAAGCTTCATGTAATTAAAGGCCAGGTTTTTGGGAACTGATCAAATCTAAAAATATTAGATAGTTTTAAGAAAAAGGATTGTGTCTTTTTATTTCAACTTTCATTAGATTTTTAGAATATTAGATGCCTGTTTTTAAAGATGAAAGCACCAAAAACTTCATATTTGCTCTCTGGTTTAATTCAAGCCATTTTTTTCCTTCCAAGGTACTTTGTTTGCAAGAAGTTCAAGAAGATCATTATGGAGCAGAGATCAGGCCAAGTTTGGAATCTTTGGGTACAATGTAACTTTTATTTTAGCTGGATTTACTTTGAAAGATTTGTGTGTTGTTAAAGTGTAACATGCTAACAAAGATGTGTGTGGTGTATCCGGGCAAAAAAAAATCTTAGGGCACCTGGGTGGCTCCGTCGCTGAGCGTCTGCCTTCCGCTCAGGTCATGATCCCAAGGTCCTGGAATCGAGCCCCGCATCAGGCTCCCTGCTCCACAGGAAGCCTTCTTCTCCCTCTCCTACTCCCCCTGCTTGTGTTCCTCTCTCACTGTGTCTCTCTCTGTCAAATAAATAAAATCTTAAAAAAAAAAAATCTTAATTTTGAAAAACTTTAATACCCATTTCAAAAGGTCAGGAAAAGATTGAGATATTTTAAGTGGGAACTTTTGGGTTGATATATAATTTTATTTTTTATTATTTTGTTTAAGATTTATTTCTTTTGGAGGGGAGGGGCAGAAGGAGAGAGACTCTTAAGCAGGCTGCATGCTGAGCCTGCTGTGGGGCTCGATCCCACAATCCTGAGATCACGACATGAGCCAAAACCAAGAGTCAGATGCTCAACCGACTGCACCACCCAGGCGCCCCTTGATAATATAATTTTAAATCAAACAGAAAAGTATGTAAGAATCTCTTAATAGATTCCTTTCCAGGAGTTGCTCTACCCACCACTAGACCCCGAAGTTTCTGAGTTCTATATCAGGGACCATTCTGTCTGGTTCATCATTATAACAGTGTCTACCAGGAACAAGTGGGTAGAAGCTAAAAACCTGTTTGATGAATGAACACTCCGAGAAACAGTTCATCTATTTAAGAAATGCTGCCTACTTTGCATTCATTCCTCAGCAAATATTTTTTGAATGCCTACTATATCCTATGCACTATTGTAGGCTGTGGTGATCTAGCAGTGACCCAAATAGATAAGTCACTGTCCTTGTGGAGCCTATATTCTGGTGGAGAAAGGCTGACAGTAAACCAAATAAATACTTAAATAACACATTAGGTAATGGTAATTTTGGAGAAGAGCAGGAAAGTAGAATGGGTCAGATTTCAATTTTTTTTTTTTTTAGGATTTTTTTTATATATTTATTTATTCATGAGAGACAGAGAGAGAGAAGCAGAGGGAGAAGCAGGCTCCCAAGGAGCAGGGAGCCCGATGCAGGACTCGATCCCAGAACCCTGGGATCATGACCTGAGCCGAAGGCAGACACTTAACCGTCTGAGCCACCCAGGCGCCCCAGATTTCAATTTTAAACAATCAGAGAAGGTAACATTTGAGCAGAGACTTGACGGAGGTGAAGGAACAAGCCATACCTAGAGCCTTTCAGGCAACAGAAGTAGCAAAGCAAGTGCCCTGAGATAGAAGTGCCTGAAGGCAGGTGGTGAGGTGTGTGTGAAGTGGAGCAAGCAGGGAAGAGTTAGAAGCAGAAAGGTCAGAGATGGGCTGTCAGGGGGCTGGGGGGGGGGGGTAGATTATCATAAGGCCTTACTGTCTTTGTCACGACTTTTACTGGGATGGAAATGAGAGCCTGATCATGCACATTAGCATTTTTAGGACTGAAGTCTACCAGTAAAGAGATGCATTCCTAGGACCTAGACCCAATCTCAAACTTAGCATCCTACATTAATGCTTGGGAGAATACACTTTGACAAATGTTGTACGGAGATATTAGGAGAGCTGTGTTTTGCCATATATGTTTATATGGCAGTCCCTGTGTTAAATTTTTTTTCTTCCTCGTAGGTTACCACTGTGAATACAAGATGCGGACAGGAAGGAAACCTGATGGCTGTGCCATTTGCTTCAAACATTCCAAGTTTTCACTCTTATCAGTGAACCCAGTGGAATTCTACCGCCGTGATGTTCCTCTGTTGGACAGAGACAATGTTGGATTGGTGTTACTCTTGCAGCCCAGAGTTCCGAGGGCTGCCTGTCCTGTGGTCTGTGTAGCTAACACACATCTGTTATATAACCCAAGGCGAGGCGATATTAAGCTGACCCAATTGGCCATGCTTCTGGCAGAGATTTCCAGTGTTGCCCATCAGAAAGATGGCAGCTTCTGCCCTATCATTATGTGTGGTGACTTTAATTCTGTTCCTGGTTCTCCGCTTTATAGTTTTATAAAAGAAGGAAAATTGAATTACGAAGGACTTGCCATCGGCAAGGTAAGTGCTTGCTTCATCAATTATTAGGAGGCGGATTTAGTCTCTCTGTTCATTGTAGTGTGAGGATAGTCATCACATGGCTGTTTGAAAACCTTGGATGACCCAGTACCCTCGCTTTACCAAGCTGTGATGATGTTCCCCAGCTACTAATAAGTAATGATGCTCACTTGGTTGAATTTCATCTTTTCCATCTATTCATGGCAGCATTCTGCTTGGAGGAATTGGCAGGTAGCAAAAAATCCAAAATGGGGGAGAAGAAGAAAAAGCATTGATAGACTTCGTAAATGAGGAACTATTCATGAGGGAGTGTAATAGAATTTTGAGTGCTGCATGTGGGCAATATAGTTGGCAAAACAGTAATTTAATATTTCTTTAATATGCACATTTTCCTTTTCATGATGGTAAATATTTTCTTAGCTGACTATATCTCATGTTTCTCCCATGTCTATCTTCATTGTGCTTTTTGTTGCTTGCTTCAGATCATTTGATCTCCAGGGTTTTAACCAAAATACAACTCTCGACCACTGAGGTTTGAGTGATAGTTTTAAAATTTTATAAGAGTTGATCTCCCTTAGTATTTTATATAATAGTTAGATCAAGTACATAAGATTTTATATTAGTGTAATTGCAGGTAGCAAAAAAGGAGGGGCAGTATTAATCCAAAGTTATAGATCATATAGATGTCCCAATTGGAAAGACATGTGCAGGAAAGGAAAATATTGCCATTTTTATGTAAACAGTAACTGCTTTCTGAATTGTATTTGAACAAGAGTTCATAAGCACAAATAATCACTTACTCTGATGAATAAAGGGTAATATTTACCATTCTTGGATTTCCTCTTATTTAAGACATAAACTTTTCAATACATAAACTATTTAAAATCTATTCACTTAAGATACCTGTTGAAATTTTGTTTAGGTATCTGGCCAGGAACAGTCTTCACGGGGACAAAGAATTTTATCTATTCCAATTTGGCCCCCAAACCTAGGTATCTCACAGAACTGTGTGTATGAGGTACAGCAGTTACCAAAAGTAGAAAAGACAGGTAAGTGTTTGCAGTACATTTTGGCAGCCTCCTTAATAGTAGTGTTCCCTTTGAAGAAGACATCAAACTAAATTTTTCAAGGGATAACATCTCAGGGATAAATATTCATATATAAAAACATAATACTTACTTGCTTATTCCTTTTCTTAATGAAGTCTAAATTTACCATTCTTAAGTTGACCTTCCAAAATTGTCTGCATGAATTATTTGCATGTTGCTTTGGAAATGTTTACATTTCAGTTTTGCTAATTACAGAGACCATCAAAACATAAAGATTCCCTGATGGAACATTTAACTAGGCATCTGTCTAAACTAGACAGGTCTTGAATATCATTCCTAGAGTAGGAGGACTATTCTATGGCAAACTAGAGCAGAACCATGTATTGATAGTTTAATATGTTTCTCTTTGTTCTTATAGACAGCGATCTGACACAGACAGAGCTGGACAAAACAGAGGTCTTAGTGACAGCTGAAAAGTGAGTTCTGGAAAGTAACAGTAGACATTTACGGACTTTACTTGGGTAAAAAAATCATTTCTCAAAAATCACTTGGATAAAAAATGAAAAGGATGTTTTTCCATGCTGGTGAAGAATGCTGAAGTCAAAATAGACCTGAGTTCTTAACTGTGCTACATTTTAGCTGTGTGATTCTGAACAAGAAACTTAACATCTCTGAGATTCAGTTTCTTTATCTATACTTTGGGTAGTTGGGAGGATTACATGAAACAAAGCATGGAAAGTTTGATGTTTGATTCATAGTAAGGGCTTAAGCAGTGTTATTTAAAGCAAACAGCCTGTCCATGGACCTGGACCAGCTAGTACTCTGAAATATGTTGCTATTACATATTTAAACAAAGGTCAAGATTACAGGAAAATACCTTTCAGATTTCAAGAGGATGCTTAGCCTCCTTTGACTTACTAGATCTCAAAATAATCTGTAGGAGAATTGATCGAAAAAGAATATGTCAGTATAAATACTTATATTTAAATTATATAGTTTACATAAATATTTATATCTCTTGAACTGCAGGGAAAAGTTACCAAAGGTGGAGGGGTGAAGATGCCTGGATTCCTTATTATTAAAGAAGCATGAATATTTAGGGCTATGGTTGAGAAACAGATGTATGTGAATACAGCAGGATGGAGATTTAAATCCTGTCTCTTTGGGAGATTCTTTTTTTTTTTTTTTTTTTTTTAAGATTTTATTTATTTATTTTGACAGCGAGAGAGGGAACACAGCAGGGGGGAATGGAAGAGGGTGAAGCAGGCTTCCTGCTGAGCAGAGAGCCCGATGCGGGGCTCGATCCCCAGGACCCTGGGATCATGACCTAAGCCAAAGGCAGATGCTTAACGACTGAGCCACCCAGGCGCCCCTCTTTGGGAGATTCTTAAAATATTTTTATTTTATATTGTGACTCTTTTATTAGTTTTAATTTTTGTTTTAACATTTGCATTTAGGGACCAAATTAGAATCCTCTCATTCATTTTATCCACTTTCTTCTCGGTCTTATTTTATTTTGTATACTTTGTATTGAGAAAATATTATCTCATATATAAGAAGCTGGTAAGATAAGAAGCAACATTTTTTGAATTTTTAAAAAAGAATATGTAAAAATTCATGATTAAACCTTTCAAATATAGTAAAAACTTCCCTAAGATTTTTTTAAAGATTTTATTTATTTATTTGAGAGACAGAGAGCACGTGCGTGAGAGAGCATGAGCAGAGGGGAGGGGCAAAGGGAGAGGGAGAAGTGGACTTCCCGCTGAGCAGGGAGCCTGATGCGGGACTCGATCCCAGGACCCTGGGATCATGACCTGAGCCAAAGGCAGACGCTTAACTGAGCCACCCAGGCGCCTTCCCTGAGTAAGATTAATAAAAAGACAAATCTAACAAATATTTGTTTTTTGGTGTTTTTTTTTTAAGATTTTATTTATTTATTTGACAGAGAGAGAGAGACACAGCGAGAGAGGAAACACAAGCAGGGGGAGTGGGAGAGGGAGAAGCAGGCTTCCTGCGGAGCAGGGAGCCTGATGCAGGGCTCGATGCCAGGACCCTGGGACCGTGACCTGAGCCGAAGGCAGATGCTTAACGACTGAGCCACCCAGGCGCCCCCAAATATTTGGTTTTGAGTAATTCTAAAATCTTTTTATAACAGAATGAGGTATAAGAAAAGATACTTTTAAGTATCTATATATAAATGTAGTGTGCTTATATGCAGAGCTTTTATCTATAAACCAAAAAATTGATAGTAAGAGAACAGTTTGCGGGAAACCTATTTTACATTTAATAGTATTGTAAATATAAGTTCTCAGACATAAAACATTGCTAAAACTGGAAAGCAAGGGCATTTTGAAAGAATAACCTTTGTTCTTTGACATTGAGCTCTTTAAAAAGCGTCTTTATATGTGTATTTTAAGCACCTAAGGTAGTGCCTGAAACTTAGTAGGTATTTGTTAAATGTTGAATTTTAAAGTTTAAAAAAATTTTTTTTCACAATATAAAAGATTTTTAAACCTTAAGATGTGTTTTTTGGAAGTGATTTTTAAACTCTTTACTACATAATCACATGTATTTGTAACATGAGATAATATAAACCATTATAGAAGCTGTTTTAAGATGCAGTACAAAATTATCTGATATGTCATAGCAAGAAAAATCATAGAAAAATATAGCCCCTCTGACATCAAAAGTCTGGTGGGTTCTACATAACATTCATAAAGGCCACTTTTTCTTTCTTAAAAACACAACAAATAACTTATAAATTGTTTTAGAATGCATATTTATTAGGAAGTGCAGGCTCTCAAATGTGTTATAATTAATAATAAATCACATTAATATGTTAATAATTGAGCTTTTACCCCACATATCAAAGCCTTGTTAATGGGTTTTGGATATCACCACATGAATAACTGAAGGCCAAATTGTGATGTGGTCTGTTTAAATAAAGCTTGTCTGAATGTCTGGCTTTGTCTGGAAATTAAATGAGAAAGTGCTTTAAACAGGAAGGATTCTAAAAATCAAGAAAAACTTGATGCTAAGCAATTTTTCTTTTCAATTTAGATTATCTTCAAATTTACAGCACCATTTCAGCTTGTCGTCTGTTTATTCACATTATTTTCCTGACACTGGAATTCCAGAAGTGACCACCTGTCATTCCCGAAGTGCCATAACTGTGGATTATATTTTCTATTCTGCTGAAAAGGAAGATGTTGCCAGGCAGCCAGGTAAAGAATGCATGTAATCTTACACTGTGCTTAAGAAGATAGTAATTCCAACCTTGGCACTAGAGGTCAAGAAAAGGTAGCTAAATATCTAGGTGAAGTTTTAAATTAAAAGTTAAAAATATTTTGGGCGCCTGGGTGGCTCAGATGTTAAGCGTCTGCCTTCGGCTCAGGTCATGATCCCAGGGTCCTGGGATCGAGTCCCGCATCGGGCTCCCTGCTCCTTGGGAGCCTGCTTCTCCCTCTGCCTCTCTCTCTCTGTCTCTCATGAATAAATAAATAAAATCTTAAAAAAAAAAAAAAAAGTTAAAAATATTTTGAAATTGGTAATGTATTTGAGTAAATCAGTTAATCACCTGCAAATCATGGAGGCAGTGAAGCCCTTCAAAGCAAATTATTGCCTAAGAATTATATCCTTAGCTCCCCCTTCCAGTTCCAGTCAGCTTCTTAGTTATGGGTCTCTTATATTGCCCTTTGGTTTCACTTGCCATAAATTTACTGGGTTTTGGGGGGGCAGGCGGAGGGACAGCAACATCAGATAGTTTTGTACTTAAATTTTACTAAGGCATGCTGCCTTCATCGGAGGACCTAGCTTATATTGCCAACAATAGACAGTTTTGTCATGTTGACTCTGGAATATCAGATCTTTCTGGAACGAGAAATCCATTATATGAATTTGTGGTTTCAAAGAGCAGAGATGATAAAACACTTCCCCTTATATGATTCAGTAAAAGTAAGGTTTTAAATATTAACCAAAATATTTAACGTGGAGAAGAAAATGCAGTTTAAAATGACTGGAAGGCAAAAAATATCTTTCAGAAAACTTCACAAGTCCAAAATGTGGACAGTTGTTTTGTCTTTTCTGGTTTTCCTTTTCTGTCTTTCTTTTTGTGTGTGTGCGCTACTTTCCTTTTGTCCTTTTTTCTTCTGCTTGTGTTTTCCTTCCTACTGAGGATAACCTTATTACTAACACTCGGGATGGCTTAAGCTTAGCCCTCCCCAACTAGAGCAAGTCTATGAAATAATGCTTGCTGCTTTGAATCTGTAGTCAGGGTCTGGTAGTTGTCATGCTGTAAATGTTCACTAGGTGGCGGGAGTGTGCCATGAACCGGCATCTCAAATGCTGCCATTAACAGTAGGTCCTCTTACTCTTTGTAGGCACTGACTCTGGGACCAAAGTATACTAATTTATTCTCCAGTCACCTTATAAACTTCCTACTCAGCTGTGGCTGGGTCTGTCTGGTTTATACAACTATGGAATAGTTGATGAATTTCTTAATGTAGTTGTTAATCTCAAATTACTTTTTTTTAGATTTATTTATTTTAGAGCAAGAGAGCATGTGTGTGAGCATGGAGGGAGGGGGAGTGGCAGAGAGAGAGAGTCCCAAGCAGACTCTGCACTGAGCTTGGAGCTCATCGTGGGGCTGACCCCACGATCCCAAGATCACCACCTGAGCCAAAACCAAGAGTCGGATGCTCAACCAACTGGACCGCCCAGGCACCCCTCAAATTACTTTATTTTTTATTTTTTAATTTTTATTATTTTTTAAAGATTTTATTTATTTGAGAGAGAGAGCATGCACAAGTCGGGGGAGAGGCAGAGGGAGAGGAAGAAGGACAAGCAGGCTCCCTGCTGAGACTGGAGCCCCAGTGGGGGTTTCAGTCTCAGCCCTGAGATCATGACCTGAGCCAAAGTCAGATGCTTAACTGACTGAGCCACCCAGGCGCCCCTCAAGTTATTTTAACATACTTATGTATTACAGACAGTATTTTCTTCTAAAGATTATTTGCAGAACTCAAAACAAAAAAAAATTTGAACCAGAAATAAAACCAAACATCTAAAACTGCTATGTGTCTGAGAACTATAATTAGGTTATAACTCAATATGAAATTTAATCATATTCTAAAAGCTGTTTCCCATTAGACTCCAGGAAGTTCTGAAGTTCTATACTATCGTTTAAAAAAGGACTTGTATTATTAATTTACAATGACCTGTTGACACAGTTTCACTAAACATGCGTTTCCTTAATGTAGGAGCTGAAGTTGCTCTGGTTGGTGGCTTGAAACTTTTGGCCAGACTATCACTCCTTACGGAACAAGATTTGTGGACTGTTAACGGACTTCCAAATGAAAATAATTCTTCAGATCATCTACCTTTATTGGCTAAGTTCAGACTTGAGCTGTGACTCTTCTTTGATTACATATATACTTTTCTTTCCAATTTACATTCTTTTTCAAAAAATGTAAAATATTTCTTGAGAGTTTGCATGTTTATTTTTGCGCCATGGAGTTTCTGAAGAGGTTATGTTAAATGCTTGAAACAGATGTGAGAAGAAACAAGTTTACAACAATTTTCTTTGTAATACCGAAAAAATATTTTCCTGACAAGTGCGATCCAAACGCTCCTTATTGTAAAAGAGTTGTAAATGTTTTTTATTCTAAATCCCAGTAAAACTGACAGTGATTTTTAAATACAGTGCATCCTCTTTAGTTAGTAAAGAATTTCAGTTGATGTTTTTGGCAAGCTTTACGGTGGATCCAAAGTATCTTTGAGTTCTTGCAAACCACAACGCATTTCCCTCCCAGAAGGCCTGATTTCATTGTGAGGACCATCTGTTTGTTGAGTCCGAATTATTTCATCTCAGAAATCACTCACAAGTGTCCAGCCAACCATTTTAGCTTGGTTTTGAGGGGGCTTGATAATGCTTTCTAAAATTGTACAAATTGCCTAATCCGTCTTACTACTCTCCTGAGCCGTGTACTATGTCTGCATTTTGTTGGGAGATGTAGGTCACCATTACTAGTGGGTGAGGTGCTGTATACACGCCCTCTTTCCATCCTGTGACAGACAGACCATTCCAGCATGCCTGAGAGAGGCAGAGACTGGGTTAGATTGCCTTTGTTTCCCTAGCACTTTGTTTTTTGTTTTTTTCTTTTTTCTCTTCAGTTTCAAGAAGAGATCCCTGGGGGCGCCTGGGTGGCTCAGTTGGTTAAGCGACTGCCTTCGGCTCAGGTCATGATCCTGGAGTCCCTGGATCGAGTCCCGCATCGGGCTCCCTGCTCGGCGGGGAGTCTGCTTCTCCCTCTGACCCTCCCCCCTCTCATGTGCTCTCTCTCATTCTCTCTCTCTCAAATAAATAAATAAAATCTATAAAAAAAAAAAAAAAAAAAAAAAAAAGAAGAGATCCCTGGGTTGGGGGAGAGTCTTTATTTTTCTGAACCAATTCTGTGGAAATTTATTTTATGAGGAAACTTGTCTTTAGAACAAAGTGGCTGCTATAAGATTCTTTTGGTTTTGCCTCAGATATTTAGGAAGCCCGCAGAACTAGTAGGGAGATACCAACTTGGAGACCTAATACTCTTAAGTAGTAATTTTAACCATCTTAGTGGTTTTGTTTCTAAGATGTTACTTTGTTTTCTCTTATAATGAGGCAGCAGTGTGAGGTGGTGCTGACATTTTTTTGTAAAGTGGTTTAAGAGCAGGTCTAGTGAGTCCCACAGTTGGCGCTCTGTGAGTGTTTGGATCAAACATTTTAAAACAGAAAAAGTGAACATGTCCTCTTTTTTAGACATTAGGATCAAAGAATTATGTGCATTTTTACTAAGTAGTAATTTTATATTTAATTATACTGAATTATAAAAGTTTTTACAATGGGTGTTCTTCATAGAATGCCTCATCTTAAATTAGAAAGCAGTAGTTACTCCGGGTCCTGGACTCTAAAGGTTTTTGTACTAAAGTATATTTACTACAGTTATTTTTTAAGAAAAGAAATCAAATGACTACCTGAACAAGGCATGTGGGTTATAAGGATTTACCTACTAAAAATCATAAGCAAGTATTTTTAAATGTTTAATTTCTCACTTTTTTGGGTTTTTACTTACAGTATTAACTGTAGTTCTAAGATTTTCCACATTTTCTAGTAACAGTCTGCAGAATATTGTATGTTCTAATTAGCAGATATTGTCATCATGAAATAATAGTATAATTAATCCTTTTTAATATTGGGGAAAGAAAAATGAAAATTCATTAATTACTGCTTTGTGTTTATGTGAGTTTATTAACAGATAACTTTGTGTATAGGTCGTTTTTGCTAAACTAACATCTCTGAAAACCTCTGTGAAAATTTAATTTTTTATGTCCTGATCAATATATTGATTTTAGGCCCTTTTCATGTGCTTCACTTTGTAGAGTTAATCCATAAAAATGTTTTCCACTTTAGCCTTTAGAATGTAATAGTATTTTGTGAACTGGAGGCCAAGGGGTCAATGTAACCTTCTCACAGGTTTTTAAAGCTCCACTAAAATTAACTATCCAGTTGTCTTTACTTTTTTTTGGTCAGAAGAATTGGTAACTCTCTTGTATTTACCTGCCAAAAGCATTTAAATCTGGTTAATTGCTGAAGCCAAATCACCCCCAATCTGGTACTGGCCAAGTTTTAAAATGGAAAGAGATACTGTGGAGTAAGAAATGTTGGTTTTACTGTACCTTTTGATATCAAGATGCATGTTTGAAATCTTGTCCCTTTTTTTTGGAATTTAGCAACTGTCTGCTTTTAACCCTTTGCTTTCCTAAAAAACCAAGTTAGAGATCCAGAGAGTTCAAGGCGTTGGGGAAACAGAGAATTCAAGTTGTTTGCACTTTGTTTCTGTGAATCACCTAATAAATTATTACTCTAGTGCATCTGGGCCTGGAGATTTTGTGGTGGGTGTGCTAAGTGTGTACGCTGGGCTGTTCCCCTTTCTAAACTATTCCATTACCCTAAAGCCTGTATTACTTAGGGTGATGCTAAAATGTAAGTGAATTCAGATGTGGCAAAACAGAATAGTGTTGAATATAGAGTCTGAAAATTGTGGAAGAAGACAAGGATGAGGGAGTGATAAATGAGTTTACTGGGACAAGTATGTAGTAAAAGGACAAGAAAAAAATAAATCACACCATCTTATGTTTTTGGAAGAAAAACAATCCTTTAGTTTCCAGGATGGTTTTATTAAAGTCCCATGCTGTGTATAAACATACAAGTGATGAGAAAAACATTAACTTGAAACATGCACTTATCTGGCATTCTCTAAAATACCATTATACAAGTTTTCCTTTACTTAGAAAAATACCCACTAAAACAATCACAGTTTTCCTTAAAGATTTAAAAAAAATGTATTGGCCAGAACAAAGTCCAAGAGAATAAACAAGATTCTGAATTGTGTGTCAAAAAAACTGTACAAGGTTGTACATAAAACTATAGCTTACAAAAGCCTTGGGTATTGTAAGAATACAGAATTAAGATTTCCAAAGTTCTATTTACCAATATCTATTAATAAAATCCTTATGAAATAATTGACTTAGAAAAAGTGAAATGCTCATGATTTCAAAGTGTATAGAAAATACTAAATATCACTTTCTGAAATAAAGTATACTCAAAACAGCACAACATGGAGTCTAAAATCAAGATTTCTGTCATCCATTTAAACTTTGCATATATCCCCATAATGGCTTAAGCATAAAATTTCTCTTGCATTTATAACTTTAAAAACTAGACTCAAATCATCTCATAGTTTTATTTTTTATCTTTTGAATAATAGCCAGTTTTAAAATCAATTTTGGGGAGGGGGGTAAATCATGTCATGGTTTACCATGGTTTACCAAAACAACCATGGTTGTTTTGTTTTTGTCTTAATATCATTTTAATTAAATTCCTGCACTAGAATTTAAGAGTTTGGTGCCTTTCTCACATCTTTCAGAAATCAACATAATTCCATAGGCAATAAAAATAGAATGAAAACTAAGAGCATTTTAAATTACTTTTCATGTTTCTGTGACTAACCCTGGCTCTGGGGGACTGAATCTTAAAATCAAGAAGTGAGTGGAAAAAAGATCAGGTTACTAATTGAATCACCAAACCAGCTGGCGGTTTTAAGGCTTATAAGTCAGCATATTAGAACAGTTGGTGTTCCTATCCTTTTACCCTTTTTTGTGGGAAACAAGAGGCTATGCAACTAATGACATTGTATATTTTGGAGGGGACGGTACTTAAATAATACTTGGAAAATCCTATTCCAAGCTCTTAGAATGATTGCAGTGGTAGAAGTTGTATACTTATTAGAGATAATAAAGTGTCAGATTGATAAACATAAGATACATATATCTTGTTTTTCACAGAGAGAGCTAAGTCAGTATTGTTTTAGAAGGAGAATGAATTGACTAATTGAAATACTTCAGTACACGTGGCCATGAGGCTGCAAATGAGTTTGCCTTATGAAGAGATACAAAGATACCTCATCTTAAACTGGAACTGAGAATACTATTCTTAAAGTGATTAAGTTCAGAATTTTTAACTTCTGTATTTTAATCTAATTGAGATGTATACTTACTTGGTCCTTTTCATGTAAAGGACACTAAACTTCCTTCTTTTTCAAGAAAATACCACTTTCTATGAATGCCATGAGTTGTTGTTTTTTTTTAATGCCATTGAGTTTTAGCATAAAGTGAGCTCATGCACACACGGCCGAGGGATGGAGTCACCTTCAGTGGTTTTACTGGTAAAGAATCTCAGTGAGCAGATTATTTTTCTACTCCCCTTTCTAAAATCAGGCAAAGAAAGCCAGGCAAAGAAAGCCAGAGAGGAAGCCCTCAACTGAGATAACACTTCTGTTGACTAGCAGACTTCACTTACATCTGCGCGGTGGTCTCACGAGTTGGCACGGCTGTTGAGCTACAATAGATGAAACGGAAGCATGCTCTTGATGTTGATAAAATACAGACTTGGCGGCTAGGGTTCCTCTGTGTGGTCTGCAGTCAGAAGTTACACAGATACACTGTCCATCACGGACTCCATCACGCTCTAAGATGGAACACTGTACCTGAAGACTTTTCCATTTAAGAAAAGGTTCTGCTTCTCTAATTCATCATATTTTCCATTATCAGTTCCTAAATGTCATGAAGTGGTACTTAAAAGCAAGGGACTGGAAGGGGATCACGTCATGCCACATTTGGTCTTAATATAAGACATCAGAACACCTCTCTGACAACAGTGAGTCCTTCAGAATCAAGGCCTGACTCAGAGTTTAAAAATCAGATGGACGTAAACAGAAAGGTTAACTGGTTCTCAAGCCTCTGCTGATTGATTCCTGGCCTCTGCCTTTCTGAGTGTGTGATTGTCGGAGGTAATTGCAATACTGCTAAATGTGTGTCACAGTGCCATGACCTCTTGTGCTTTTTTTGCTGGAGTTTGCAAAGTTTAAATGTTAGTGACAGAACACAGACTACCTTCTGATCATGCTTTTTGTTTTGAAAGAACAAAAAACCGCTGTCAGTGAATGCTTTAAGAAATATTAAGAAAGAAGTAACTCCAAGGTCCTGAAAATAGTTTCCTGTATTGCCAGAAGAATTTCAGTGCTTTTTAGTAAAACACTTGATATAATACCTTAACTCCCATTATGTGTGTACCAGGAAAAAATTCCAAACTTTGTGGAGATCCCCATTGGAAATATTGGGGAAACAATACAAATAGAATATATATATATATAAAAAAAAACCCATTAAGTTTGCATATCTGATGTCAAGATGCTGAGGTAATATTGACTGCTTAAAAAAAAATCCCACCAACCTTTGCCTCTGTTATTGCTGAAAAAAGACATTAATACTGGCTGAGTTACCCTACTATATCAAAAGTGGGAGGGAGGGTTTCAGTAACATATACTACTGGTGAGGAGGCATCATGTTCAAAAGCAAGGAGACAAAAAGTAGGTCAATGGGAAGATAGAAAACTACGGTTACATATTTCCCTTTCTATCTGTAGTGAGGGAGACAGTCCAACCCCGATGGGGTTTCTTCCTTCGGCCTTTTCCTGGTGGCCCCTTGGTGAGTTTCAACATTAATTGTTACCACCCACTCAGATTCCATGTCCAAGTGAATCCTTAAAAATAAAATCCACAGGTTCTCAATAAATAGTTGCAGTTCCTCCGAAAGACGCTGGGGTAGAGTGCAGAGAGAAGCACCACGGAAGCCCTCTTACTGGCTGATATGGCTTTGCCTAAATTCGGATTTGGTAGCCCAACTCGTTCAGCGTGCTAAGGTCAGCCACCTTCTTCTCAGGCAGTGCAGGCCTAAGGGTCAAAGGAAGATGGTGGGGGAGAGGAGATGGGATAGAGAAAGATCACTCAGTATTTGATTCAGAGAACTCGACTTTGTTCTCCTGACCCTTCAGATGCTTGACCCCAGCCCGCCCCCCGCCCCACCCCACCCCCGGCCTTGGTTCCCAGCTTGACCTCGTGTTCTCAAGTCCACTTTGATGGGATATGTAGGGAACATTTTCACAGGCTTTTCAATGTAGAGCTGAAAAACACTGACAGGTTGCCGAATGAGTTTGTCCAACTTGAAGCCTGAAGCCTGCGTTCCGTCACACTAACTTCTGAAACCCAGTTATCTGTAAACCTTGCAAAGGTCTAAAAAAATCACATGTAGTCCAGTAGAACTAAAAACCTCAGCCAGACTCTCCCTGAAACCTTGGCTTCCTGGTGCTTGTGCCATGGGGGAAACCCAGCAACTACACGACTTCGCAGGTGCCAGATTGGCACGGAGAGATGCTTGGCTATCTTTGATAGAGGATTACTCTTCCAGGCCTCGGTGCATAAAATTGGGGCGGATCCTTTACAACTCATCTGAAAAAGCATGTCAATGTGGAAAACCATTCCGTGGCAAATCCTCTCTTCTCCCTAAATACATTTTCCAAAGTACTAGTAAGCATTTATGTGAAGTCATGTCAGAAAATACTTCAAGCTGGAGAAAGAAAATCAGTAAGCACATCACCTGTCTTCATTAAAGACATCTCCTCAATGATTTCCCGATATAAGAGTACGCCCAAGCATTCTCCCGACTTCTCTCACAGTTTTTCCATTTCTTAGCCTCCTACCTTCTCTGATAAGAGAGAACGGAGCTTATGAACCAAGTTTAGCAGGTTCAGTATGGCTAGAGAGCTCTAATTCCAAAGTTTCACATTCAGCCATTTTTACCAGAAGACTGAAGATGTTTTTAGGATACACATGACCCTTGTTTTAAGTGTTTGAAGAAAAGAGACCAAAATGAAAATATAATTGGTTTCTTGGTTTATCCTTTGAAGGGCTTCCTAACAACAAATAGATTTCCCCCGGCAGGAAGGTGCTCCAACTCACAGAGCCAGAAATCAACAGCCAGCTCATGTCGACGGGGCCGCTTAAGGACACGAGGCTCAAATTTTGGCAACAAGTTCTACCGCCTACATATTATCATTCTCTCTGTCTCCCTGTCTCTGCCCACCTCCATCTCCTCTCCCTCCCTTCCTCATCACCCCTCCCTCCCTTTCCCTCAACAGCCTATGAACATCCCCTCTGAACCTGATTATTCAAAGTGGTCAAGAAACCTTCCCTGACTTGCTACTTGGCATTACTAAGGAACTTGTAAACTTAACTCATCTCTGTGTTGCATGAGGCTGATTTCCCAGCGTGACCATGTGCCCTGCTTTACTGGTCAGAATCATGCCTCTCGTTTCTTTGTGTCTCTGCTCATGGTGCCCGGGGTGCACAGATGATGCTGACAAATATGGCCGACAGACGACAGACGTCCCCGGACTTGCTTGCATGTAGACCCCTGCTCACTGTACCAAAGAGCTCAAGGCTTCTGACCGGAGCAATGGTGTCCTCCAGCCGTACGTGCCCTAGAGATCGGCCATTCCCTATCAACAGAGCCACTGGTAGAGTGGACCCCGGGGACCACTGTAAGGACCATTCTTGAGTTGGCAGCTAATGGGAGCACACTTCCAGCTGAGGGTTCAAACTTAAATTTATATCTCGATCCTAGTCCTCAGCCCGCTAACGTGGAGAGAACTAGGGCTCTTGCAGACAAGTCCGGTTCAGAGTCCATTTGTATCTAATCCATTTTCTTTCTTTTTTTAATTATTATTTTTTAAGATTTTATTTATTTGGGTTTTTTTTTTTAAGATTTTATTTATTTATTTGACAGAGAGACAGCGAGAGAGGGAACACAAGCAGGGGGAGTGGGAGAGGGAGAAGCAGGCTCCCCGCGGAGCAAGGAGCCTGATGCGGGACTCGATCCCAGGACCCTGGGATCATGACCTGAGCTGAAGGCAGTCGCTTAACTGACTGAGCCACCCAGGCGCCCAAGATTTTATTTATTTGACAGAGAGAGAGGGAGAGAGACAGCACAAGTAGAGGGAGAAGCAGGCTTCCCGCCGATCAGAGGGCCCGATGTGGGACTCGATCCCACGACCCCGGGATCATGACCTGAGCCGAAGGCAGACGCTTAATGACTGAGCCACCCAGGCCCCTCTAGTTCATTTTTTCAAAAAGCCTGACATAGAGTCTGTTTTGTTTCCTTGCCTGAGGTGTGTCATCTTTTCAAACAGCGAATATGCGACTTCCTCCTTCAGGTAGACTCCCCATAAGTTAGCATCACCCTAAGGCAAATGGGGTTAGAAAGGCAAATCTACTTCCCCCCTCCTCCATGTGCCCCACTTTTAGAAAATTCAGCAATCAAAAAAAATTCACCTGCCGAAGGATAAGCTTCAAGTATCCCTATGCATTCCTCGCTTTACAAAAGGATTAAATGGGGGTCATTTCCTAGAACAATTAAAATATAATTTCCACACTACCTTTCCTGGTGGTTGAACTACGTGCACATATGTTCCTTATCCAAATATAAATCACATTTGCAGTGAATGGATTTTTTCTTTATCTGATGCTTTTAATGATCTCTGCGGGGCAGAGTCTGTTAGTTGCCCCACCACGTCCACCATCCCCTTCTGCCTTAGTACAAACCCGCTTTTCAGCCGGGCACAGAGCTGCCAGAACACAAACCACGTTTCCCAGCCTCTCTAAAACCGGTCAGGCGTCGGACTAAGGTGTAGCCACTGAGACTGACGTGGAGGTTACCAGACACCTCTTCCAAAGGCAAGAAGCATGTGCCCTTCGTGGGTTTCCCTGCTCTCTCTCCTGTCTTGTGGAAGTGATGGCTGGAGTGTGGCCCCCAACGTGGGACACTGGAGAGGCCCAGCAGGAAGACGCCCCCTACCGCCTCAGTTGAGCCACTTTCCCACGTTGGTGAGCCCCCGCCTAAGCCCTAGCTTCACCCCGACCTTACCCGCCACCAAACCTGATCCTGACTGGGATCACGTCCGTCCGTCAACTCACTAAGACAACGCCAAGTCCGATGCCAGTCATGGTGGGTGCCGAGTGGGCCTGAGGAAGGTTCACCTGGGGAGTGAGCACACGTTCCTAGCAAGTTCTCTAGAATTCCACTCGGGAGAAGTAGCCACACCCTACACAAAGTCCGGAGACTCATGGGTAGGAGTCTGTCTTCTTCCCCGGGGCCCTGCACCCCGTGCAGGACCTACGCCATGGCGGCTCTTCACATCTCCCATTGTCAAGAGTAAGCAACAACTCGTGCTCAGCAAGAGGATCCCCGTCCCAGGGGCCTTTGCAGCATACAACAGCGAGCTCACCCCAGTTCCGGCACCTTTCTTCCCGACCTGGCCTCTTTCTCAACACCGAGTTACACGTCTCCTTCTCCGAAACTCTGAGAAACATGCTGCCCTTCCTGTGTGAGAAGAGCACTCGTAAGACACCAGCCTGACATGCTTTCCCGGGTGGTGGAGCAGGTCTGTGCTGACCTCTTTTCTCTCCCTCGGTCCCCGGACCAACGGCGCCTGCTGGGAAGTCAGTGGCAGGACAGGCTGCAGGGCCCGGGGGTCGACAGGAGGACGAAGCCTAGCCGCTCGGCCCTGGGATGGGGGCTCGCCTGGGACCCTGCTGCAGGGTGCGAGACTCGAGGGGCCACACACAACCTTAGCCACCGGCAGGCCGCCTCCTCAGAAGCCAGTGTTCGCCCACTCACCGAACTCTCTCACTTCGGAGCCCATCGGCCCCCAGGAAACGGAATGTTCACCACACTCTTCCAAGTGTGTGTGTTCCTAAAACTTCACCCTTTACCTTTACCCTTGGTCTGCTACTGGTTCCCTTGGAAACAGATGTACTTTAACTCGGGGGGTCTTTGGCCTCCTCTTTCCTAAACCCTTCCTTAGCACCTCCGCCAGTCACTGCCCCCTGCCCACCCCCGCGGGGTCTTCCAGGTGCTGAGAAATCACCATTATAAATAGTTTCCATTTAGTTGGCACTTACAAGGCACCAGGCATTGCTCTGAGAGGTTTACAGGGATTAACTGAGTGTCACCATAACCTGATGGGGTTGATACTGTTCCTACCCGTTTTACAGAGGAAGAAATCGAGGCACTGAAAGTTAGGGAACCTGCTTAAAGCAAAGTCACATGTTTAGCAAGTGGTGGAGCCAGAACTCCTCCCCAGCATCTAGAGCCCGTGTCCTTAACCATGAGGCAAACGGACCCCATCCTCCCACTCCCCACACAAAGCATCCTCCCAAGCATCGAAGGATGACACCACAACCACTCCTGGCTTCTGCACCATGACACGGAATGCCCAACCCCATGCCTTGTTGTCCCTCCATGGTCCAACCCGAACACCACTTCTCCCGCGAAGTATCTGACTTCCTTCCCTCGCAACGCATTACTTCTCGCCCCCGGATGCTAGGGCATCTTCTCTAGTACATCTGCTAAAGAATCCTGCAGGTTCCTACTCCTCATGCCTGCCTCAGAGACTGAACAAACTGAGAACAGGGATCCAGTCCATTCAGCTATGAATCCCTCCTGTTGAGTAGCCTGTTCTCAATTAAACCTGGGTCAAGTTCTCATTAACATGTAAATGGCGGATAGGGCTTCATTATGTTCTCTTTATCATGGGATATTTTTAACAACGTCCTAAGCCAGGAATTCAAGTCACCATGATGACATTCTAAGAACTAACAAGTTTTCCTGTACAGGACAGGATTTATCTTACCAAAGCCGCTTGGGGAACCTGCCTACTTTGAAAAGCTGAATGTGGATCTGCAAGCACAGAGAGCTGGAGGGCTTCCAGAGGAAAGGGACTAGGTTGTCCCCTTCCTCTGTAGCCCACCCGTCCCCCTGCCCCCTATGTATCCAGAACCCAGGGAAGAACAAAAGGCTAATACTGCCAGAAAAGGATTCAACCGAGATCCCCGGTGAACTGCCTGAAAGAGGAAACCCTTTTCTCTCCCAGCGCTGCTGGCTGCAATCCCCTGGCCTGGCGGAGGGCATAAGTGGGTTATCACAGCCTGCCACCTGCCCGTGGGCCTCAGCCAGAAATCCTGCTCCCTCCTGGCCAGCAGCTCGTCTCAGGGCCAGAGCTGGGTGAGCTTGTGCGTGAAGAGACCTCTTCCAAGCGCTCCCCTGGCTATAATTAGAATTCTGCAACGGATTTATTTTTAAGAAACACAAGCACCAGGATGATGATTCAGCCAGATCTGCACTTGCCCAGAACCTCTCATCAGATCCACGGTTATTATTTTAGACCGAACAATCAATGTCTCCAAACCCCTCCCTAGTCCACACAAGGGAAAACATCTCCGAGGATTTCCTAGTGAAGGGCTTTCAGCCCGCCTTCTGTTTTAGGGGAAGCAGGGAAGGGAACTTTAAGTTGCCGGTTAATAGACTTTGTGGAAGGAAGGGGGGGCACTTCTCTCAGCACACAAATGGATAATCCCAGCCTCGTCTGTTGTCACAAATATATCCAGGGTGACTTAGGGTGGATGGCCTGGTCCCAGGTGACCCCTTCACCCCAACCTCAGGCTTGCATTCCTGGAGCTAGCTAACAGCAGAGGCTGTTCAGAGGGGAGGTAAGTTGAGGAGGACAGGATGGTGGTTCCATAGAGAAGGTATTCTATAGCAGGGAAACCTTAGTTTTCCATCCTTGTGACACATGGTGGAAATTCACACTCTGGATTTTTTTTTAAGTAAGCTCTACGTATAATGTGGGGCTTGAACTCATGACCCTGAGATCAAGAGTCATATGCTGTACTGACTGAGCCAGCCAGGGGCCCCCACACTCCCGATTTTCAATGTGATCTTTTGTTCCAGGTAGCTGGGAGTAGATATGGGACTTTTAGTTTTCCAGTTTGTCTCAATCTTATATGGCTTGTGACTCGTTGACTTGATCCAAGTCCCTCCGAAACCTTGACAGTCCGGGGCGAGTGAACCATCTCGTGGGTGGGCGGTGGCCCCTCGAGACTCGCACACAACCTGAGGCAGCCTCAGTGTCCAGGGAGAGCTTGGCTAGATTCTATGTTGGTGTCAGTGAAGCCACAAGGAACCTCAGAACCAGAAAGTTCATGGCAGCATGTTGGGGACCGAGTGGGGACATCGCGTCCTAGGGCTGAACATACCAGCTGGTGTGTGTCTGTGTGAGACTGGGTTTAAGAAAAGAAGCAGTAACGCGGAAGGAGAGCCTACGAGCTTCCCCCCAAGCTCCAGCCCCCATCCCTTTTCTGCCCTTCTGACTAAGGCCTGAGTCTGGAGCACCCCTCCCCCCACTTCTCAACCCCCGCCCCCCTCCCCTCAGCAGCTGCTGGGGAGCAGGGTCAGCAGGCCTGAGTGGCGGCTGGGAGGGGAGAGCAAGGCTCCTGCAACTTGCTGGCTGCTTACTCACCCACAGGACTTCATTAAGTAACACTTTGTGCCAAGTACCTTGTAGGTCTCGGGGTTACACCAGGACAAACAGCAGCTCCTGCTCTCCCTGGACCCGAGGTCCATTCCCTTTGTTCTGATGGAAATTTGCCTCTTGTTTCTCCCGTATGAGTAGGATACACTTGGGGGACACGGCCCATCTATGTCCAGTTCAGGGCTGCCTGATTGGGAGGCACGGGCCACCCATCTATTCATGCTTCTTACTCCTGTGTCCCCTGAGGTCACAGCCCTGGAGGGTGGGCAGTGTGCATGCCCATGTGTTCACCCACTCACCCTCACGCACAAACACACCCAGGAAGACCAGGTTAGCTCTATTCCTTGTGGACTCGGGATTCTAGAAAGGGATATACAGTAAGGATGCAACTCTAACATGGACCTCTCGGTCCTCAGTGTTAAGTGTGTGGGACAGATTAAATCAGGGATGGTGCTGGCCCAGCATTTACAAGTTCAAGCAGAGACCCCAGGCCTTCCTCTCTTGTCTAGTCTGGCAGGAATCAGGTCAGGCTGGGTCCCGAGTTAGGACTTATGACCTGTCTGGGTAGGCCTCAGTTGGAGGGCCATGGGAGGGGGAACTGGTTCCTTCCAACCTGTCACTGTCATTCCAAGCCCATCCTGCTCCTCGCTCACATTCGCCACTTCCAGGACAGTAGGTACCCTGCTGGCAGGTGCGGGCCGACAGCTGAAGCTGCTATGCACGCATAAGAGATTCGGCTCAGCAGAGACTCTCCAGGCCCTGCCCCTTCTTTCAAGGCCTGCAGAGGTAGGAGGCTCTGGCCAGAGACCAAGAGCCACAGGCCACTGTCTGAGATTCCAGGGCACAGCCTCTTCCCCTTGCTGTGATGGAGAACCCCTCTAGCACCCCCCAATGGTGTCTGACCTCCAGGAGCCTCTTTGCTCACTCAGGTCAGGAGGTCTTTGCTGATATGACTCATCATCCATCCTGGTTTCTCCAAGCGTCCCCAGGGACCCCAGACTCTATGAAATCCCAGGAGAGCTAAGCTGAGCAGTCCTTTGTCTGGGCTTCTAGTAGGAAACTCCACATCGTCCAGGAGGCTGACTTCTCCCTCTCCTTCCACAACCATTCTACTTCTCTCCCTCCCTCTCTCTCTCTCTCTCTCTTTTGCTTCCCCTCTACTTTCCTTGCTAAGGAAATTATCTCCTTTTCACCTCTGGGGACATTTTCTCATCCGGAATGGAAGAATGGAATGACTTCTTGGGCCTCATTCACAATATCTTCAATGTGATTAGACCATGGAATCAAACTGATTCTCTATGACTTCATTATGACTTCATGGCCTCACTCGGGCAACTGCCTGGAGGCATCGTTGCGATCCTTCAAGACAGAAGGGAGCAGGAACTCCACTGTCTAGCTTGGGGCCAGCAGTGAAAGGAGACCTTATCTTAAGATGGGGCTTAGTAACCTCTGTGACCCTGAGGGTCTCCAGCGGGGTGAGCGAAGCCCCCTAGAGCCACAAACCGCCACAGAGACAGATAACCAAGAAGGGAAATCGAAGAGGGAAAAAAAGGGAGGAATAGAATCATAAATAGCAAAGAAGAGCAGTGGAGGGACAGAGGGGGTAAAAGAGGAGCCAGAGAGCGGAGAGAGAACAAAGACATTCTCAGGGGTCCTTAGGGACTCTTGCCCCACTTGGGAAGAATGTTCCACGTGGTCATTCCAATTGGCATGAGCTGCTTTCATGCTGACATGGGCAGCCCAGCCAGAAACCTGCTGTCCGTGCACGCCTACGCTCCCGGGTTGTGGCCATAAGCAGTAAGCCAAGACGTTTGGACTGTCAGAGACAGAAAGGACCCCAGGGAGCCTTCGTGGTTCTGCGTAGGGGAACTGTTGGCATTTTAAGTGGAAAGGTTCTTAATGGGGGAGGATGAGCTTTGCAGGAAGTTTACCATCCTTGCCCCCTCCCTGGGATCTCTCATTATAATAAGCAAAAACCTCCTCTCCTCCCACCTCATTTCTAACCCTTGTCCCCTAGGGTGTCCTGGCTGCTGCTGAGAAGCGACTGGCAAGGGGACCGAGGCCCAGCATTGGGAAGCAGTTGGTAGAAGTTCACGCCAGCCTTTAAAACGTGGGTCTCAACCTTGATCTCCTTGTCTCTTTTAGAACCATTTGACTGCTCTGTGTGGAAGGTGCTTTAAACACTCCTAGGGGAGCAGAGGATGAAAAGGACTGGTGGGTGGAGGGTGGGGGAGTCCGTTTCCCTCTCGAAACCTTGCCTGAGCCGACACCTCGTACAGCCTTTGCTGTTTGCCCTCCCACCCCGCTGACTCTTCTGTCAACCCAGTGACACCGATCTTCCTTTCCAGAAGGATTATTCAGACCAGTGCAAAAATGGAGAGGAATGCAGGGCTGGAAGTAGCTGCAGCTGTAGGGGTGAGGTAGGCAGGGATAGAAAGCCACTAAAATTATCCCAGCATAGAAAGGGGCTGGGGCCCCACAGCTGATGGGCCTCTTGCCTGTTATGGTAATAGTCCACCCTTGGGCCACTCCCAAGCTTCATTATGGCACCCAACACATTTAGAAATGATTTGATGGCCTTATGTAATGCTGAAAAAAATAACACAGTGACAGAGCCACCAAGCCCTTCCTAGTCCCAGCCATTCTACCGTAGGATGCCCAGAATTTTGGTGGAGTTATTGGGTCACAACCAGATGCGTCCCTTTCTCATTTCCTCACCAAATCAAGATCACCTGGAGAAAAGCCTGCTTGGTGAAGGCCAGAGGTAGAAGCTGAGAAGAGGCTCTCCTCCAGACACACCTCTAGGAACCAGGGTGTCCTGGGCTCTAGTCTATGGCAATGGCAGAAGCTGGGATCTGGAGGGGGAGGGAGGGGCTTGGTGCTTCGGTCCTTCTTGTCCTCCCTGTCTCATGCAGCCCTTCATTTTACTTTCAACTCTTCCCTTTCTGTCCTCTCGAGCCCCTGTGATCCCCTACCCAGGCCCTGCAACTCAGAAAGCAGGATTTAGGAGGAATTAGTAACACCTTGTAACACCTCAGTCCACTTCAAACTTCAGCCACGATGTTTGACCTCTAGAAACCCCTCCTGACCTCCAAACTCGGAAAAGAAAGGGCTTCAACTACCAAGGATGGCCACCGTCTTCCCGGATTTGCTCATACGAAATGGTCCACAGGAACCCACAAGCCACCTGGGCTCCCTTGATGGTCAAACTCTTCCAAAGCCACCCCGCCCCGGCTGTGAAAAAGAAAATCCCTAAGACCTGACCCACTAGGGAGAGTTGGTGGAAGGAGACTCCTGGGAACCAGTGCCGTGCCCAGGAGAAAGGACTGCAGGGTTCCGGGGCTGGTCACAGCCACTCTTTGCCATTTTGGAAAAGTTTATGTTTTCATTCAACCACGAGCCATCACCTCTGTGGCCCTGGGGCCTGCCTGCTGGGGCTGGGATCGACTTCGGGGCGTGGAGGGAAGACGGTGGTGGCACGGAACCCCCATCTTCCTGCAGGTCTTCCTTCCTGACCCCTCCGGTGACTACTGCCCTCTCCCTACTGCCTTTCTCCCCATCCCTGGGCCCACTTCCTGCTTCCAGCCAACAGGAGGGATGAGGGTGAGTGGGGCCCCGACACTAGAAAGTGGCTTTGCAGTCACAACTGCGGCAGTCTAAGAGCTGTCCTCTGTAGGTGCAAGTGTGGTCCCTTGCCTTGGCTGCGTGACAAAGCAGCCAGAGATTAGGGTATGGGCATGACCAGTTTCCCTTCCTGGCCCCTAGAAGAATGACCAGCCAGGCTCCGACCAGCATGTCTTCAGTGGAGCCCAACCATGGGGGTCAGGCCGGGGTCACACCCTCTAACCTCACCCCAGCACCTCAGGCTCCAGAGGCCCAGGCAGGACTGGGCAGAGCTGGGCCCCGGAATCACACTCGGCCTCCTCTGCCCCCCTCAGCAGACCCAGTGCCTGCACCTTGACATTCTGTTGTTTTTTTTAAAGCCAACCCCCAAATCAGTTCTCCCATTCTGACTGATCAAACCGTGGCTCTCCAAGAGTGGTCCCTGGACCAGCAGCATCAGCATCACCTAGGAACTTGCCAGAACAGCTGGTCCTCGGGCCCCATCCAGATCTGCTGAATCACAAACACTGGGAAAGGGGCCCCGAAGTCTATTTGAACAAGCCCTCTGGGGATTCCAGGCTTGCTGAAGTTTGAGAACAGGGTGTAGGATCCTTCTATCTATCCTCACCTGGGCCCTTGTGCTGCATGCAGCCCCTTCTCCACCCCGTGCAGATAACCCACCTGCTCCTCCTCACTCCCACCCAATGACGCACCTCCTTCACCAGCAGGATAAAAGCCACTGAATGCACAGTCTGTCAACTTCTACGTCCTCATCTACCTGACCTTAAACTCTCCCTCATTTTCCCCCCTTCCTTTGCTCCTAAGATCTTCACAGCTGGCTTCTGCAGGTGCGGACAGGCCCCTTCACACTCCCGATCCATCCTCTCTGCCTATTCCTCCCCTATCTCCTGTTCTGGTTCTTCTTCCTCTGGGCTACTCAGGGCCTGACAGCGCTTCCTTCCTTCCTCACCGACTTATCCAGCTATCGCTTCAGCTGTCACTTCTAAGTAGATGGTTCTGATGTCATGATCTCTATTCCTCAAGCTCCAGATCTGCATTCTCAGCGGCTTCTAGGATGCTCCCCCGGGATGCCTGAGAAGCGGCTCAAATCCCACAGTCCAGGCTCCAAGGCACCTTCTTCCCCTACTGTTCTCAGACCACCAGCACCTCGCGTGTCCTCTGACTTCTGTCTCCACAGCCAGTGTCTGAGATCTTGTTGGCTCTCCCATCCCTGGGCACTCACGGGAACTTTTTCTGGTTAAAAACTTCACAGGCCTTGGACTGCAAAGTTCCAGTGGATGCAAGTAGAACAGATGCGACAGCACTCGTCCGAAACCCCACACGGCCGTCCCGCGCATCAGTGCATCAGGTGGCATGCTCAGGACTCTCTGGTTTAGAGGGCAGAGCGGGGCTTTATTGACTGCTGCAGACTGCGAGCTCCGAAGGGAAGACTTTGCCCTCCTGGGGCAGCAAAACTAACCAATCAGAGGAAAGGGCCCCTCCCCTGCTTCTTGGGTGACCAGACTGCCACTTCTGGGTTGCTGGCTGCATGCTTCGTGACCCTCCGAGGAGGGTTTACATACGCACAGTCCTCTGAGACAACTGTTACTTTGTTCAGGGACGCCAATGACGGGATGACTGCATCAGAGAGGGGGAGAGCTAGGGTTACGGTGAAGGTCAGGGTCAAGAGGCAAGGGTGGTGGTCAGCATCAGAGGCAGGATTCGGGTCAGAGGCTTCTGCAAAAATCTGAAGTCATCCTGCTCTCTAAAGGGACAAAGCCATGCTGAAGTCCCCTTGTTCTTCAGCTTCTCTTGCTGCAGGAGCTCCCCAACCCCCCCTCCTCCTTCTCCTTTCCAAGCCTGGACCCCAGTCATCTTAGCCAACACCTCTGGCTGTAGATTCTGCACCCTGGGTTCAGCAGTGGGAAGTAGAATGGGGACAAACCAAGAACCTTCCTCGGAACTGACACCACCTCATCCCGCACTGTTCTTCCAAAGACAGAACCAACACTTCCGTCCCCCTCCCCGTTCCCAGAGCCAGGGGACCTGGGTTCCAGCCCCAGTCCCATCACTGACCAGCTACAGCACAGCATAAGATAACAAACCTGGTTTGTGTTCTTGTTTCTTCCATTGACAGTGAAAACGAAAACTCTCCCTTCTTACTCTACAGGATTGATGTGACGATAACGACATGCTTGTATTAAAGGCAGTTCACCATGAACAAATCGCTCTCACTATGTCTTCTAAGTTGATCCTACGACTCCTTGAGAGAGAGGCAGTGAAAGCATTTTTACCCTCCTGGACGAATGAGCAAACTACGGCTCCTGAAAGGCTTGCCCAGGCCGCAAGGCTACGGGGCGGCTGAGCTGAGGCTCACCCCGGACCTCCGGGCGCTGTTCCACACCGTCCCTGGCTCGGCGAGAGCCTCCTGTGACCCGGCATACTGCTGGTATTAATAAAAGTGGTATTTTTTCCTGCTGTGTAATTATGGCCCAAATATCTGCCAGTGGATTATCACTGGTTACTTTGGGCCTCCTCAGCTTCTCCAATCTGTCAGTGCTCAAGTGAGTCATTTTGACCTAAGAAGTAGGTGTGGGGGGTGCCTGGGTGGCTCAGTTGTTAAGCATCTGCCTTCGGCTCAGGTCATGATCCCCGGGTCCTGGGATCGAGCCCCACATCAGGTTCCCTGCTCAGCAGGAAGCCTGCTTCTCCCTCTCCCACTCCCCCTGCTTGTGTTCCCTCTCTCACTGTGTCTCTCTGTCTAATAAGTAAATAAAATCTAAAAAAAAAAAAAGAAGTAGGTGTGGAATCTCTGGCCTCAGGGCTAAGATGGGGGAGGGTAGAGTCAGCAAGGGAGAGGAGGAGCCTGCAGGTATTTCTGATGCCATGATCCAAAGAATGATTGTGATTTCTGCCGGGCACAGAGGGCTACAGGGTTTTAGGAGAGTTTACACGCTTACATGACAGGCCTCACGTCATGGGGCTCACAAGGAGCTGAGCTGGCCCCAGACCCAGGCTTCCTAAGTCTACATCCCCTGCTCCTCCCACGAGGCCAGGGTTTCGGGGTATCCTTCATCTCTTGCGGTCTGGAGCCTGTCCCTTCATCTGAGTCTACAACTGGCAGGCGGCGGCCGCAGAGCAACGGGGGTCATGTGCATAGTGGATCCTTCTCCCCAAGGGATGCCCCCTGAACGAGGGGTGGTCCTCTCAGAGATCTCCGTCTGCTTCAGATGCCATGCCCAGGACACACCTTTGTCCCCACGGGCCAGGACAACCCCACGGATGCGTGTGTTGGGCCCCGAGCCGGGGAAGAGAAAATACTCACGACTTGTCTCTCCTGCCGAGCCGTCTCGGGGGGCTCGCCTGTCTCCTTCGTGGGGACAGGGACTTCCCCCGGCTTCTCACTTGGGTTGGAGAATGGGCACTTGCAGGTTTCAGGATCTGAAGGAGATGTGAGGAGTTACCACACTGGCTCCGAAAGGAAACCACCCTCGTGTCTTCCTGCAGCATCCCTGCCCCCAGCCTGCCGTGATCGCGGGGCTTAGGAGGTACCGAGCTGGAAGACCTCCAGTGGGGAGTCCTAATAGATGATCCTCGCTCAGTCTGCACTGGCGAGGAGCAAAGGACCCCCTCCCAGAGGCTGAAATGATTACACCACGCCCCCTTTTCCACAGCAGAGAGGCAGAGCCCCATGCCTCAGCCTCCTGGGGCTGCTTCCAGGTGCTGGGTGCTGTCTTGTGAGGGCAAAGTCCCACCTACATTGCCCCAGAAACCAGCTTGTTCTTCCTCTGACTCTCCCACCCCACACACAGGCACACAGCGGTTTCAATTTCTCTAGAATCTCTGTTCCAGGTTCCTCAGGGTGAAGAGGACAAGTCCCCAGGCCCTAAACAGAACCAAGCCTGAGGTCAGCAAAATCTCTTTCCCCTGGGGTCCTCCGTGTACACACAGGCTTTCTCTCAGTGACTCCACAGCCCTGGAGGGACAAGGACAAGCAGGCATGATGTCACCATGGATGTGACATGGGAGAAGCAAGAGGGGCTTATGAGTGTAGATTCTATGAAGCCAGCACAGTGAATGATTCTTCGCTATTGTGACACCAGGTCAGAATTTTATGCCAAAATGCATTGCAATACATAAAGCAAAGCCGAGACATAATGCCACTCTGCAAAAGATTATAAGGCAGGGTGACCTCGTGTGCCCAGGACCTTCCTGGTTTTAAGTACTAAAGATGTCATGTCCTGGGCATGTTTCAGGCAAACTGGAATGACTGGTCACCCTATTATAAAGACCAAAACAACAAAACAAAATGAGAGGCTTAATCTAAAATGACTAACATTTTAGATTTGATTTCATAGAAGGATGTACATGCCAAGACATCGCTTAACTGTAACATCTAAGTTGACTTCAGCTCCAGTGTTTGAAGTAGTCTATACAAAGAGAAATTTTAATTGTCCATGTCAAATAGCAAATGATTTCTATTTTTTGTTTTAATAGGATGGCTACTAAGCAAGATAAACTCAAGAAGCTTTTGACTATCCCAGAAACATGGGGCATGAGGCAAGAGGGAGACAGACAGAGGTTGGGGATAGAACTCTCTTGCATCACTCATTCGCCTTCCCAGCACCTACCTTCATTCTCATGTCCCTGGCATATTTCTCCAGCTCCTTCCTTATGTCAGCCCTCAACATCTTTGAGACATTGAGGACCAGCTGCTTCCACTCAATGGGCTGAAAGCTATGAGGCTCATGGGGGACATACAGCCCAATCTTGACCTTCTTCACTGTGTGCAGGTACTTCTTGTAGGAGTCTTCAAAGTCAAAGATGAGGTCACTCAGAGTCCGAAAGGTCAACGGCTTGTCCATCAGCTCAGCCCTTCGGCTCATGCCCAGTGAGCCATAGTGGCCATTGCAATAAATCCCCAGCACAACGTGGTGAAAGTAGTTTCCTGAGAAGTAGGTTTTAAAGCTGATGGGGAATCGCTCAATGGAAGGCTGTCCATTGGTTAAGTATCTTAGACCATCTGAGTCAAGGAAGAGAAGGGAGGCCTTGAAAATTCAGAGCTTGGACTCCCAGGGAGGGAAGTGGCCCAGACAGGCAAAGTAAGTGTCCATCCCTCTGCCTCTGAGGCCCACATCTAACCTATCCAGACTAATCCTTTTAGAAAGGATTCACTTGATATCTTTGAGTACTTATTTTATGGTGCATACTGAAGCCAAATTAAAATGGGACAATGAGAAAAACTTGCCTTCTACTTTAGTAATTAAATAAATGCAAAACAAGATCATGGCTTTTCCCCCTCCCTTGGTTTTCTACAGGGATGATGAGTATTAAAGACTTTTTTTATGTAATCGGAATGACGTTCTCAGACATTAATTCTGGCTGGAGTGTGTGGGACAGAGCCAGAATTGAAGGCCTCTGCAATGTTCCAGGAGGAAAATGAAAACCAGAATCAAGGCAAGGCAATGAGATGTAAAAGAAACAGACCGGGGCGCCTGGGTGGCTCAGTTGGTTAAGCATCTGCCTTCAGGTCTGCTTCTCCCTCTACCCCTCCCCCCTGCTTGTGATCGCTCTCTCTCAAATAAATAAATAAATAAAATCTTAAAAAAAAAACCCAAAACAAGAACAGACTGGTTGATTATCTGGAAGGGAAGGCATCAGAACAGGTCACACCTGCCCCTCATCTGTTGCTCTCATGGACCCCAGCACACCCATGCCAACAGCCTTGGGTACCACATAGAAAGCTGCCTCCAGCACCCGAACCTCAGGCTCCTCATTCCCCAAGGCACTTGGCATCACAGATTGGCTTTCTCCACTTATCAGCCCATTTGGATCGAGCAACCCAGCCTCTTACCGTTGTATCGGTTTGGGACCAGCTACCCTACAGGTGCAGCGTCATGTAACTACCCCACTGACTCCACACGCTGGAGCACTGGACAAGAAGTACCACATCCTTCAGCCCATCTCAAAATCCCAGGATAGTCCCGGCAAGGACCCAGTATTTCTGGAGAGGGATGTTGAAAACTCACGGTGTCACTTTTCTGCTGAACACCAGTGGTGACTCCAAGGAGTTTCTAAGGTAAATAATAATCCAGGTGCTCCCCATGGCAGCTTGTGCCTGGTAAGTGCTCAGTCAGCGGATATGGTTCTCCACTGTCTGAGAATCTGTCTTCACCATTTCTTGCCCCCACTCAAGTGGACTTTCTACCCAGAGGCCAGAATGTTCTATTCAAGCCAAAATTTGGTACGTGTCAACTCTTCTGCTTCAGTTTTCACTGTCTCTCATCTTCTTCAGACTTGGTCCAAATCCCTTATCAAAGTCCTGCCACGATTCAGCCCCTGCTCATTATTCCTTTGTCTGGTTTCATGCCCCCCACACCCTGGTCCAGCACATAGACCCGCAGTCAACCCGAGACATTTTTGGAGGATACACCGAGACCATAAAGAATCCACGCCCGTGCCCTTGGCACATACATTCCCTCATAATGGGAAGTCATATATAACTGGAAGTCTTAAATGACTTTTAAATGACCTTCACATTACAAAGCTGTGAGACCAATTCAACAAAATGCCACTGCACATACTCTGCACCACATGACACCCCCTATTGCAGTAGAACTTCTCTTATGGCTTCACTCACACATCAGCCTTCTAGTGCAGGGGATTCAAACCTGGCAGAGATCTTTGGGGTCTTATCAGAATCATGAGTGAGGACGGTGTGGGCTTACTCTCTTTATACAGGCGGCACCCTGACTAGAACAGCCCCACTGCTCTCTCCTCCCTCCTTCCACTCTTCCCCGACCTTCCTCAGTATGAGTTAAGTAGCCCCCCCAACTCAAGAGCCCCTGTAGCACTTGCTGCTCAATCATCCGGCGTTGTAATTGTGTATTTGCATTTTGTTTGCATCTTGTAGGGGCGGGAGTTGTGTTTTGCAGGCTGGTGTCTGTCCCCAAGCGTAGCACAGGCCTGGTGCACAGAAGTTCTTCGTTAATGCTTGCTGCAAGGATGACCCTCCATTGTGAGCACACCTTCCTTAGGCTCAAAAAGACTGCCTTAGTGAGGGCCAACCCAGGTACCCTTACAAGAAAGAAGCTAACAGAAGCACTGAGGTCAGCCCTGTCCTCTGTCCTCAACTTAAGCACAGATGGCTCCTCGCTATAAAAAGTTACCTGTTGGGCGCCTGGGTGGCTCAGTTGGTTAAGCGACTGCCTTCGGCTCAGGTCATGATCCTGGAGTCCCGGGATCGAGTCCCGCATCAGGCTCCCTGCTCGGCAGGAGGTCTGCTTCTCCCTCTGCCCTCTTCCCTCTCGTGCTCTCTGTCTCTCATTCTCTCTCTCTCAAATAAATAAATGAAAAATCTTAAAAAAAAAAAAAAGTTACGTGTTCTGTCTTCACTTCCTCCTGTGAGATTAATTGGCAGTAAGGGAGTGAAATCACAACCTTCCGAGTCCCCTGACGTCCATTCCTGCTTGTTTTCTGGGGTAAGTTCTCTGGGGCTGGAATAAGGGCATTCCTTAGTTGGTTTAGACAGGATAGCAAGCCCTTACTGGGTGCGGATCTCCTGTGCCAGACAGCCTGCAGGCAGGGCTGTGGAGCCAAAGATGAAGCCTGTCGGGGAGACAGACTCAAAATGGACACAACATGATCAGTATGGTAGCTCCTCAAAAAAAAAAAGAAAGAAACAAAGAGTTGCCACACGATCCAGCAACTCCACTTCTGGGTGTGTACCCACAAGAATTAAGGGACGCCTGGGTGACTCAGTCGGTTAAGCGTCTGCCTTCGGCTCAGGTCATGATCCCAGGGTCCTGGGATCGAGTCGCGCATCGGGCTCCCTGCTCCGCGGGGAGCCTGCTTCTCCCTCTGCCTCTGTCTCTCTCTCTCTCTGTCTCTCATGAATAAATAAATAAAATCTTTAAAAAAAAAAAAAGAATTAAAAGCAAGGACTCGAACAGGTATGTGCATACCCATGTTCACAACAGCCAAAAGGGTGACGTGACCCAGGTGCCCCCGGATGAATGACTGGATAAACCAAATGTAGCGTATGACATACAACAGAGTAGTATTCTGCCTTAAAAAGTTAGGAAATTATGACACGTGCTACAACACAGATGAACCTTGAGGACATCAGGCTCAGTGCAATAAGCCAGTCACAAAAGGGCAAATACTGTATGATTTCACTTTCTGAGGTACCTGGAGTAGTCAAATTCAGAGAGATGAAAGTAGAATGATGGTTGCTGGGGGTCGGGCAGAGGGAGGAAAATGGGGAATTAGCACTCGATGGGTGTGGCATTTCAGGTGGCGGAAGATGAAGTTCTAGAGATCGCTGGTGCCCATGCTTGCAATGTCACTCAACTGCGCCTTAGACATGGTTAAAATGGTAAATTTATGGTATGACTATTTCACTGCAATTAAAAAAACCCACATTCACAATACATGTACGTCAAGCCACTACGCTGTTCACCTTAAACTTACACAGAGCTCTACGTCCACGGTGTCTCGGTCAAACTGAAAAGAACCACCCCAGCGTGATGTGTGCTGTGAGAGAGACAAGCCCCGCACCCCCAGGGAGAGCAAAGAGGCCACGCGGTGACCACACCGAAATTAGTCTTGTGGGACAAGTAGAGTCAGCCACGTGGAGAAGAGGGAGGGAGGAGGGGATGTCACAAGTCGCCATCGCTAGGATTTGTTCCGTCTTTATGGCCATCAGGAAAGCCATGGGACCTGGAGCAAGTGGGCCCAGAGCAGGCGGGGACAAGGAAGTGTGGCTGAGGGCAGGGAAGTGGCCTGAGCTTTTCTGAGGGAGCAGCCGTGCTCAAGGTCCTGGAAGATCCGCCCAGCATCTAACCCGCCTCTAATTACAAATCTGTCACCAGAATCAGCCATAGCACTTTAGTACCGTGATTAAGCCCCTTCATGGTCAGCGAGGCCCCCCAGGTTGCTGCCAGGATTTGGAAGATGAACTAAAGGGCTCTGTCGCGGGCAGGGCTGTGCACGTGTGTGCATGCACACATGAACTGAAGCAAGAGCAAATGAAGGGGCTCTTCCTGAATGAATCCTGAACTCTGGACTAACGTCAAATGAGAGAAAACAAGGAAGGACAAGACGGGGGACTCGGGCTTCCAAGCAGCAGCTGAGCTGACCTGTTTCAAAGTTGTTGAGGTGCCATCTGTTTCCCAGGACCCGCAGAGGGGCCTGTAGGCGACACAGACAGATGACCCAAGTCATGTCCTTCACTGTGCTCGAGAGAAAAGCAGGCCATAGGGATGCTGACAAAGAGCAAAGAGAAAAGACAAAGATGCTGTAACTTTTGTAATTCAGGTCTGTGTTTCTTGTCTGTGTCCAAGAGTCAAATTTCCCTGAGCTCAGCAGTGTGAGCCCCATTCCTCCACCCTTCCCCACCTTCTCGGCACTTCTCTGAAACATCACATTGGTAAGAACAAAGGAAAACCGAGAGCCCACTGTCTGATTTGGACAGGCCCAGAGGCCAGTCACAAGTATATTCCTCACAATCCCGAAAGAATTGATTAATCCCAGTAAACCTAAAGTAGTGCTTCTGTTCATACATAGCACAGGGCCGCGGCTACTGTGTAAAGCAGGATGGCCTCTGCCCAGGTGCACCCAGACCTCCGTCAGCAGAGTCTGAAGGTAGCTGGTCCGTCCAGGGAAGGGCCTGGGCTCGTGCTCTCCCTCACTGATCCCCCCAGCAAATCCCCAACAGCTGCTCACCCCCATTAAACTCGCAGGAGGCTCTGCCCCACAGCTGTGGCGGACTCCTGCCACAGAAGGGCCCCCGGAGCCATCTGCGGCCTCCACCCCATTCTGCCCTCCGGCGGGGCTCCCCAGGCACACATCTCATCTCCTTTGTGAGGAGCGGAGAGGAGGTAGGACAGAACTGTGGGGGAAGGGCCACAATAGGGCTCAAGCTCCCATTTTTCAAATGTCAGCCTGGGCACCTGTGGACAGTCTCTTTCAGACGAGGCCTGCCAGTGCCCTGCAGACTGCAGAGGGCCAGAAACGCCCCTTCCCATGAACGTGTCCAGGAGACCAAGCCCACAGACTGCACCTCTCCTACTGCCCCCGGGCTGATTCTGAGCCACCGGTCCTTCCGCTGACGTCACGCTAACCTCTTTCTCTCCTGGGTTTCCTTCCAGCTCTCTAACTTTCCTTCTTCGTCTCTGTCACGGGCTCACCGTGTCCCACTAAACCAAAAAAGGGTGAGATGTCATCCTTGAACTTCTGCTCGTCTCACTCCTTCCACAGCAGCCTCCACTCCCTAAACACTCGCAGCTCCCCAATCTCTATTTCCAGTGCAGAGCTGCCTCCTGAGCATCATGCTCTAAATACCCCACCCTGACATCCTACCACACCCCACGTCTCAAATTGAACAAATTCAAATCTGAACTCCCCTCCCCATAAATCTGACTCTCCCCACAGGCCCTTCCTTTGGGCTGCAGCGTACTTATCCAATCTCAGTTTTCCAAGCCGGAAATGTGGGCTCGTTGCCTTTGTCTCCTCTAACTCTTAGAGCTGATCAGCCCATGGGTGGTGTTGATGACCCCCCGCTCCTTCCTCCACCTTCCCGGCTACTGGGTCAAAGTAGCTCACCTCTCGGTTGCCTTCATCACCGTATTGGTTGACTTCTTCCTCATCAACTCCTGCACTCAGTTGGCCTCTAAGTCCTGGAAATTCTATCTCCTTGGTGTCCCCTCACCTCCATTCCCCTGGCCAGGACCATGGTTCAAGCATCACCATTTCCCTCAGGGAGCAGCTCCTAACGGGCTTTGCAGATCCAGCTCCTTCTCCAGTCTGCCCTTCAATCTGCCCAAAGAACCACCTCTCTAACACACATGCCTGATCGTGTCGTGCCTCTGCTGCTGATCTTTCACGGGGGCTGCCCTTGCCTTCTGGAGGAAGGTCACAATTCTCAGCACAGCACTCAACAACCCACCTGGTCTTTCCTGGGACAACCTGCCAAGTTCATGTCTTGCTGCGTCTCCTTGGTCACTGTCCCTTCCAGCCATCCACCCCAAAGGACTGCAAGTTTCTTTGCTCTTCTACCAAATCATATTCTACTGCCATCACAGCTTTTCTGGACCATATTCCCCTCAGGCTAAGGAGCCAGAAGTCTGGCGGAAAATGGAACAGAAAGTATGGGAGAGCCCAAACCCTTGTTTCAGCTCTACATTCTGTGGAGTTAAGACTCTACACCATTGCTTGGTCTCCTCCACAACCCACTCTTAGAATTTTCCCTAGAGATGCGTTTGGATAATCCCATTTCCCCTTGACTGTCTATCCTGTTGCAATGCCAGATAAATGCAAAAAATAATGATACATGCTCTCTCTGCCGTCCCTCTAAGTTGGAATTCTCCTCGTGACTAGTGGATCTGGCCTGAGACCTGGGCCTGGTGCAGGCTGCAGCTAACAGCTTACATTGACAATGACCGGGGAGCCAAGCTCTGATCTGGTTCAACTCTAGAAGGTGAAAGTTAAAGAGAAGCATCAGGGGGAGCTTGACACTTTCCCCAAGGAGACCACGGGCATCATCTCTGTGAGTCTAGGACAACAAAGGCACAATGGGCCCCACAGTGAGGCCACCATCTATGGAGTAAACTTGAGCAAACATAACTTCAAGGATACATGCCCAGGATGACAGCTTCCAGGCATTTGATAGGCAAGGACTCCCGAGTCATTTCTTTCGCTGTTTCCATTAACCTGTAGGGTAGAGCACAGCAAAGTATCTCAGGACTTATTTAATTATGCAGTCTGTCTGTCGGTCAATCCATCAGCGTGCCTGTCTCCACACCAGGTGCCATGCAGGTTTATAGAGGGAAAGGGGAGAGCTCGCTGTGCAGGACGGAGCCAAGGCGCATCTGGATCCAGCAGAACTAAATTCCTAAATTCTCCACTCCTCTCTCCAAGCGTTAGTTCCTGGAGGTTGGTGCCTGTATGCCATGGCATTCTCTATGTGCCAGGACAAGGGGCATTACAAAGAGCAAGTAAAGGAGGCCACATAAAACAAACTTCAGGGCCACCTGGGTGGCTCAGTCGGTTAAGTGTCTGACTCTTGATCTCAGGGTCGTGAGTTCAAGCCCTGCATTGGGCTCCGCGCTGGGCGTGGAGCCTGCTTAAAAAAAAAGAAGATACACCCTGAAATTGCATTGCCAAAAAGAAGCCTGAAACTGTGTGATGCTGGGGGTGGAGCCTACTCAAAAAACAAGAACAAAAACAGAAGCCAACTTCACAGGCCTCCTGCAACCCTGTAAGAGTTAGTCTTCCCCACAGAGCTTAGCTGTCAGAGTGGCCCAGCCCCTAGCCCCACCGCCAACCTGGCCCTGGGGCACCCCCACCCCCACCCCTTACAGACCAGGATGTTGGAGCAGGGGATATAGGGATAAAGGGTGGGAGAGGGAGTTGACAGCTTTCGAGTAGGAGAGAGGTCCCCTGGCCCACAGATCATGCACCACTTACCCACTCAGCGGTCTCATTTTCCTAATTTCAAAGAACTGGGTCCCTGTATGATTGTATCTGTGTGAAGTATGTAAAGGGAAAGTGACAGAAAACTCCAAAGGTCCCAGTGATCCAGCAGAGGAAGCTATGCATTGATTTCTTAAAGGGATGAGGAATGAAGAGTGAGGGACTTTCTGGAAAGTGCCCAGTAGCCAGAAGGTAGCCAAGAGCCTCTTACTCCTCACTGTTCTGCCCTGAAAATCCAATTTCTAACTTAAGCTTCAAAACACCTTGGACCTTTATAATAGCTATTTTCAATCTGCTCTGTATTCTGTTTAGTTGAAAACATGTCTTAATTCACTTATTAGACTACAAACTCTTTGGGAGTTAGGACCATTTATTTATTACCTTTATATCACCCACAAAGCCTGGCACAAATTCAACATACTCCAGTTAGCAACTATTATTAAATGAATGAGGAATAAATGAATAGATGGGTGGACAGATGGATGGATAAATGGGTGGATTAGTGGAAGGGTGGATGGATGAGTGAAAGGAAGGAAGGATGAATGGAATTGATGGAATGGAAAGGTAGGTGGATGGATGGATGGATAGACAGATGGATGGAAGGAATTGATGGAATGCAAAAGTGGGTGGATGGATGTATAGATGGATGGATGGATGATGGATGGAAAGGATGAATAGAATGGGAGGGTGATGGCTTGGAAGGGTGGATGGATGGATAGATAGTAGAGGTGGATGGATGGATGGATGGATAAATGGATGGAAGGAGTGGATGGAATGGAAGGGTAGATGAAATAGAAGGGTAGATGGATGGATGGGTGGGTAGGCAGGTGGGTGGCTGGATGGACAGATGGATGGATGGAGGGAAGGATGATGGATAGAAGGGTGGGAGCATGGCAGAAGGGTTTCTCAACAGTGCAGTCTCTGCAGCAAAGTTTACTGTGGAGACATCACCTTCGTTTCACTGGACTGATACTAGACCATGGTTACTAAGTCTGAGAGGATGACACTATTACCCACAACTTGGGATTTAGCTGGTTGCCCAGAAAGTGTCAGGGACTGGCAAGCCAGCACCAGGTCATTCTGAAGGAGATCAAAGATTCCCTGATGTGATGCTCTCCGAGACTAGATCTTGATTTTTTCAGAGCCTAAAGAAAAGTTGCTTTACACATTTCTCTTTCCTGCCTCAAACAAAATCCTATAGATAAAAGCATATGTTGGGAAGGTGCTCATGAATCGAGAACTTGTAACCCTGGCAGGGGGTATGAGGGGAGATGTGTGACCCCAGAGTGGTACAAGCAGTGGCAGAAGGGGGCGCTGCACACCCTCCCAAGGAGGGTTAGGACCCCCAGCCCCCTCCCCCCAACAGGCACGCATAACAACTACTGGAGGGTGGGGGGTGGGGAGCTCATTATAAGGAGACTCTGGGCTCCCCCCCTGGAGATTCGGATTTCAGGCCATGGTCCTAACCCTCGATGTCATTCAGAGTCACACTGCCTTGGACTGTTGTGTTGGAGGTTCCAGGGTGAGAGCCAGAAGATGATTTTAACAAGCTCACCAAGCTGGAAATTATCAGCATGAGCCATAAGAAGAGCCCATCACAGTATATAGGCTCTTGCCCAGCTTTTGAAAAATGCAATATAGAAAACCTTAGAGGGAAAAGAGAAAAACGAGGTGCTACGTATCCTCACTGTGAAGCGATATTTTTATTTGACCAAAGATCTCATTCGAACAGTGAGACTCCTGGTAAATTTAAAGTAGAATTCAGTGGACAAAAATTCCACCTGTGTGCCTTTCTCCCTGTTCACAGATCCAGTCTATACACCTAGTGTGTAAAGTGAGACCAACCCATAATAAAGTAACAAAAAATTGCCTGGCCTTCCATTCTCAGTTCCTTACCGTTATGAGCCCCAGAAAGTGAGTTGGGGGGAAAGCCTCCTGTAAACATTGCCTTCAGAATGAGATACTTCCTGAGCCCGAGCTGACCCTCAGAAGGCCTCTCCCCACGAGGCAGAGCTCAGGGGACACCTGTCTTTCCAGAAGTCCATGCAAGATTAGCACTCCTGATGGCTGACACTCTGAAGCTGTCAGAAGGGAAGGCAGGATTTGTCTTTTCATGTCCCCAAACAAGCACGTCTATAGTTAGGACTAGCCTGGTAGCCAAGCATGCGTTACTGTGTCCAGGACAAAGCCGTAGGAAGTTCCAAAGACCTAAATACATACTTCCTTTTACTGCCCTTCGCTTTACTGCCCTTTGCAGATATTACGGTTTCTTGTTTTGTTTGTTTTGTTTTTTACAAACTGAAGATTTGGGGGCACCTGGGTAGCTCAGTCGTTAAGCGTCTGCCTTCCGCTCAGGTCATGATCCCGGGGTCCTGGGATGGAGCCCCGCATCGGGCTCCTTGTTCGGCGGGGAGTCTGCTTCTCCCTCTCCCCCTCCTCCCTGCTTGTGTTCCCTCTCTCCCTGTGTCTCTCTCTGTCAAATAAATAAATATAATCTTAAAAAACAAACAAACAAACCGAAGATTTGTGGCAACCCAGCATCCAGCAAGTCTGTCCACACCATTTTGCCAACATGTGCTCACTCGGTGTCTCTGTGTCAGATTTTGGTAATGCTCACATTTCAAACTTTTTCATTATTATTATAATGTGCTATGGTGGCCTGTGATCAGCGATTACGACTTACTGAAAGCTCAGAGGATGGTTAGCATTTCTTGACAACAAAGGCTTTTAAATTAAGGTACGTAGATTGCTGTTTTAGATACGTCATTGAGCGCTTTCGATGTGTTATTCCAGGTATGTTATCAGGTAGTGTCAGCAGAAATTTTACGTGCACTGGGAAACCAAAGAATTCACTGGACTGGCTTTATTGCCATATTTGCTCTCTTGCAGTGGTCTGGAACCGAAACTGCAATGTCTCCGACGTGTGCCTGTAAAAGTCTGGGCAGCAGAGAAAACAGAGGTCACACTCTGCCTTCTTTGCGCATTGGCTCCAACAGCCAAGTGACCGGGGGCACGATCCCAGCAGCCCGCGGCACTTTCCCCTTTCTGGCCCTCTCTGCAGTCAGTGATCTAGGTCAGTGACCATCGTTATGGGTCAGAGAAGAAAATGAAAAAGCAGATCCTTCAGGCAAACTGAAAATTTGGCTGAGAACATGCTGTAGGGTTTATGGAAGAATGAGCATATGATGTACATTTGCCCCTATCAGGGCATCCCCAGCCAGGCTCATTCCCTTTCATCTCTGGCTGCATGATCCTTGGGAAGATCATGTGCTAGATGGAAGTGGGGAGCAGTTCTAATTTCTGTCACCTTCTAGAATATTCTGTGAGCAGTCAGTCACACCCTTGGGCTCTTGGGGTCCCAGGCTATCCTGGCAGAAGTTTATGCTATGCTCCCCAGGGGTCCCAGTTTGGGGATCAGCACCAACAGCAGATAGCCTGCTCAGGGTTAGGGCTGTTCGCTTCACCCCCGGAGGCTGGTGCCACCTCCCCCTCTACTATTTCTTTCAGGATTCCACTGGGAAGATGCCATGCAGGGGAGTTATATCACCTGTGAAGTGGGAACTGCGAGGCTAATGAAGTAATCTGCCTACCCAAATCAGTAGCAACTGGTGTTACTCTCCTCTGGTATGCCCCCCCCTTCAGAGAGACACACAAATCCAGAGGAAAGATGCTTGCATATGGCACAGAGAGGAAGGGCCTCTTCTGGGGCACGTGGGAACATGTGTGCAGCGTCCCATGAAATCCTTTCTGCTGAGTTCTATGTCTTTCGGGACAAAGGACGGAGGTCAGCAGAGAATTGACCTCTTGGACAATGTGCTGGGGGCTAGGGGGCCAACAGCTGCCTCGGTAGGGCTCTGATGCTGTCTTAGCTCTGAGATGTTCACGGGCGGGGGCAAACAGTCTGTCCCTCCCACAGACACCTCTGACAGCCCAGCTCCCATCTGATTCCTGTCCCTGAAAAAAATACCAGCAGTGGCCAATGTACCAGCCTCCGGTGCTCCTTTGTTCTTACAGTGCTGCTGGTGCAGGCCCACAGAACAGATCTAATCCTGGCTACAAACAAGCCATGGACACTGGCAGAGAGAAGGACCAGAGTCCGGCTGGTCTGAATTCAGCCTGGACCCACAGGGTTCCTCCACGCTTCTCCAAGCTCACATGAGGGAAGAGGACCCCCATCCCAGGGCCCCATTTCTTCCTGTGGAAGGGAGCAAGGCTGCCGGTCTGGGGCACCTGGGGAGCCAAAGGCAGTGCCAGGTGGGCCTCCTATAGATTGTAAGTGGTCAGGATGAAGGCAAAAAGTGAGAAAGGAAAGAAAAAGAGCAGAAAGAAGCCCAGGAGGGAAGAGGGAGAAAGACAGATAGTAGAGGAAGAGAGGAGGGAAACAAAGATCCCCTTATTATCATGCTTCCAGACTCACATTGGGGCATCCCTCTATGCCCGGCCTCACCAACCTTAGAGCATTTACTGACCAGCTGGGGACAGACCTGCCACCAGGCTCGAGATCACCACACCCGTCCCCGCGGGGTCCGCCCAGACCCTGGTTGGAAGGATACTGTAGTGTCTTCATGTAGTTCTGGATTGCCTGGAGCCAGTCTGGGATCGTCATCGACAGCCTGTAGTTCGGAACCTGGGGTACTGAAGGCTGCAAAGAAGTAGAGAGAGAACGCTTTATCAAGGAGATGCTCCGGGGCCCAATGTCTGAGGGCAGCCAAAGGGCTGAAAGCACCAGAGAGCTGCTCCTGACAGCAGACGGCCACCTGCACAAGGTCTCCCCAGACTACGTGGTCCCTTGCCAAAGTTCTGCTTGTCTGTGTTCCCTCCATACCCTCTGCCCTGGGGCACCATGGCTCGCTATGGCCCTCTGTGGGTTGTGAATGTGAACGCAGCCTGCCTCCCCATGGGAGCCTCAGCGTCGTCTCCTTGAAGCCAAGGACCATGTCCTATAGCATCCCCCACGCAGCCTGGCCCAGGATGTTCGCAGGGGTGCCCCACTAACCCTCACATTTTTACCGCATGACTACACCTTTTGCTGCATGGCTGGTATGACCCATTATACTCCAGGACACCACTGAATACAAGACGAATGGTGCCCTAAAGAAATGCAACATGGTGCTGCACCTGCCATCTCTCCTCAACACCACTCCCATCGAGGCCCTTCCCTCGAGGCCTAGTTTGGCCCAAGCGGATTAGCAAAGATTCCCCTCTTGCCATGTCTCTTCCCAGATAAGGGCAGCCCCTCTGACTCATGAACACCCCCAGCTGCCCAGGCGCTTCTTCTTTTCCTCGCCTGCCCCTTGGTCAACACCCACTGAGTGTCTACGAGTGAGTGCACGAAGTTCTAACCACTGCTGGGAAAAGAAAGGAGCAACATCAGGCGAGGACTGGAAAGCGGGAGATAAGTGCCTCTTCTCAGGAATTTAGAGCTAAGACACCAGCTCTGAGACACCAGGCAGCTCTGAGCACCCCTGCCAGTAAGGCCAAGAGCAAGAATGAGCAGGGGCTTCTAATCCAGCCCTTCTCTTCCTGGGTAGAAAGGGACGGTGTGTGCTTTCTTCCCCCTATATGCTTCTCAGTCTCATAAGCTTGGCCTCCGGCGGGGCGGGGCTATTGGTGACAGAGACACTCGGCCCCTGTGAGCCTGTGGAAAGGGGAGGCTCCTCCAGGCTTAAGCCACTTAGGGAGGAGCAGAAGGGGCCGCAGGACGGATTAGTTCATCCTCAATCCTCGAGAACACAGGGAAAGGGAAGCCCTGGGGATTTAGTGCTCAGCTGATGGAAGGTGAAGCCGCTGGTGGAGAGACTTGGGGACGGTGCTGAGCAGCCTCGCTGGGCACCAGGGACAGACACCGCCCAAGGACATGCCCTGGCCCCCTCCCTGCTCTCCAGGCTCGGCCCACGCTGAGGCTGGAGGGCGCGCTGCCCCTGGGCCTGTGGCGGGGCCCCTTCCATACTTCCACGCCTTCCACACCTTCTACACCTTTAGCTGCGGTTACTTAAAATGCTACTTGAGGGTGGGAGGATGGGTTAGCCTGGTGGTGGGTATTGAGGAGGGCACATTCTGCATGGAGCACTGGGTGTTATGCACAAACAATGAATCATGGAACACTTCATCTAAAACTAATGATGTAATGTATGGGAATTAACATAAGAATAAAAAAAAAAAAGAAAAAATGCTACTTGACATTCGTTTCCTCTCAGTGCTTCTCTTTTCTCTTGGCTTTGCAACTTCCTACTTCACAGCAACTGCCCCTCTGGCAGAACGGAGACCAGTCACACGTCCTGCTTCATGGCCAAGGTGCCGAGAGTGTGTGTGTGTGTGTGTGTGTGTGTGAATGTGAGGGGGTGTGTGTACATGCATGCACAGCTGTTCTGCAAACTACATGTGGTTTACAACATATCCACTCAAATCACGGTTCTGTCTTGGAGAGGAATTTTGGGGAGCAAAACGTTCCAACGTGACCATTCGCTCACGTGACCCTCCCACACACGCAGGTGCACGTACACACACACCGATGAAATGTATGTATTATGTATTATGAAATGTATCCTCGTATTTCTGCCCTTACAAACACTAGAAGTGTCCATCTTGTCCTTGCTTTTTGCAGTAACATCCACTGATCTACCCGTACCTGGAATTCTGTGGAAGAAGGTGCCAGAGATTGCACAGAGAAGTGAGGAGAGAAGGGGAGATGTAGACAAACATTTCTTTAGCACCTGCTACATTCCAAGCTCTAGGTCAGGGGCAAGGGAACACAGAGACAGAGGAAGGAAGGAAGGAATGCTGTCTTAATTAGACAGCATTAAGGCACACGTGTATTTCTACACGGAAAAGTGCTATTTGTATCTATTTAATACAAAAGATGGTAAAAGCATGGGGAAATGCCCCAAAGAATCACCGGCCACCTAAGGGATCCTCAGAGGGGTGTCCCTTGGCCAGAGCCCTGCCATAGCCACACGGACTTGGTTCAGAGGTGGCTACGGGGGCCCGCCACCAAGCCCAACAGAGCCCACAAGAGCCAGATGGTGGGGTGGGAGTCAGGCAGCAGCTGGTCCTCAGAATAGCAGCCCGATGGCGCCCAAGGGCTTTTAAAAACAGCTGCCTGGTTACCTCAGGCCCGGCTGAGAGTGCCGGAGCTGTGGCCACATCCCCAAGCCCCAGCTGGGGATCAAGGCTGCAGTGGGGAGAGGAGCTGAGACAGCTGAGGGGCTGATGTCATCAGGCTACAACGCACCCTGCTGTCTGGGAAAGCTGGCTGGGGCTCGGGCTGGGGGCCGGCTCCCAACCAGCATCTCAGGCCTCCAACATGCCCACAGGACGGTGGACTATATAAACCAGGTGGGCTCCTTGGCCGGTAAGTATGAGACCGACACAAGATCCAAGTCCCCGCTCTGTCACCTACTCACTGTGGACCCTGTCCAGCTCCATGACCTCTTTAAGCCTGTTTCTTTCCTGATAAAACAGGAGAGTATCACCCACTTCAAACCTTCTGGGCTAGCTGTAAGGATTGTAGGACCTAATGTACAAAGCAGGCAACTTGGGACTGGCGCTCAGCACTCTGGAAGGGTTGGCTATGTTATCATTCATCAACAATGTGTTTTCGGGATCTAGACTGGGGAAGCCTGAATGGTCTTCACTTTTCTGGAACTGGAAGACAGAATCAGCAGGGCCTGAGTCTCTGCACACACTCAACGTGGAACATCACAAAGATGCCTTCTCACCCCAATGGAAGAGAACATGTCCACTTCCCCCTGGGGACACATCTTGACCATGAGCTAATATCCTTAATTCATGAACAGTTCATACAAAGTTATAAGAAAACTCTTCAGGGGCACCTGGCTGGCTCAGTCAGTACAGCATGTGACTCTTGATCTCGGGGTCATGAGTTCGAGCCTCACATGGAGTGTACAGATTACTTAAAAAAAAAAAAAAAGTAAACTCTTTGGGCTTTAATGGAAAAAAAATGGCCCAAAAGGTAGAAGAAACCCAAATGTCCATTGACAGGTGAATGGATAAACTTTAAAATGTGGTACAGGGGCACCTGGCTGGCTCAGTCAGTAGAGTATGTGACTCTTGATCTCAGGGGTCATGAGTTTGAGCCCCGCATTGGGTGCAGCTTATTTTTTAAAATGTGGTATATACATACAATGGAATATTATTCAGCCTTTAAAAATGACATTTTGACACAAGCTACGACATGGATGAACCTTGAGGACATGCTAAGTGAAATAAGCAAAACATAAAAGGACAAATATATGATACCTCTTACACAGTCGTCCCCCTTTATCCACGGGGCATACATTCTGAGACGTCGCCCCCCACAGATGCCTAAATCTGCAGATAGTGCCAAACTCTATCTATACTATGTTTTTTTCCCCATGCGTACATATACCTCTGACAACGTTTCATTCATAAATTAGGCACAGTGAGATTAAAATAATCAATAAAATAGAACAAGTATAACAGTGTACTGTAATAAAAATTATGTGATTACGATCTTTCTCAAAATCTCTTATTGTAGTGTACTCACCCTTCTTGAAATAGGAGGTGATAAAATGCCTACACAATGAGATGAAACGAGGGGAATGGCGTAGGCATCATGACCTGGCCTTAGGCTACTATTGACTCTCTGACCACAGGTCAGAAAGAGGATCATCTGGGGTGCCTGGGTGGCTCAGTCGTTAAGCGTCTGCCTTTGGCTCAGGTCATAATCATCTCAGGGTCCTGGGATCGAGCCCCACATCGGGCTCCCTGCTCCGTGGGAGGCCTGCTTCTCCCTTTCCCACTCCCCCTGCTTATGTTCCCTCTCTCGGCTGTGTCTCTCTGTCAAATAAATAAAGAAAATCTTAAAAAAAAAAAAAAAAAGAAAGAAAGAAAGAGGATCATCTGCTTCCAGACGGCAGGTAACCATGGGTGACAGAAAGCATAGGAAGTGAAACAGTGGAGAAGGGGGGCCAACTTTATGAGGCACCCACAGTAATCAAATTCATACAGACAGAAAGCAGAAGGGTGGTTGTCAGGAACTGAGGGGAGGGAGGAAGAGGCGTTAGCGTTTAATGGGTACAAAGTTTCAGCTAGGGAAGAAGGAAAACTTCTGGAGATGGAACACAACAGTGTGAATTACTTAATGCACAGAACTATACACTTACAGGGGGTTAAAATGGTAAATTATATGTTATGTATATTTTACCACAATTTTTAAAACAGTCATGAAAAGACAATTCACAAAAGAAATGAATACATATTTGAAAAAAATTTTCAAGCTCACTAATAATTTAAGAAATGCAAAGCAAAGGGGCACCTGGGTGGCTCAGTTGTTAAGCGTCTGCCTTCAGCTCAGGTCATGATCTCAGAGTCCTGGGATTGAGCCCCGCATCGGGCTCCCTGATCAGCGGGGAGTCTGCTTCTCCCTCTCCCTCTGCCTACAGTTCCCCATGCTTGTGTGTGCTCTCTCTCTCTCTCTCTGACAAATAAATAAATAAATAAATCTTAAAAAAAAAAAAAAGAAATGCAAAGTAAAACCACTGCAAAATGCCATTTTCACCTCCAATTAGTAGAGATATTCTGAAATGTGGACACCTAATGCTGACGGGGATGCTCCTATAAGGCACGATGGGAACATAAATTGGTATAACCTTTTTATAAAATGCCACGGCACATTCTTTTTTTTTTTTTTTCCTCCCTGACGGGTCCTAAGAGTCCCTCCTCATGTTATTTTCCTGCCCTGTTTCACCTGAAACCCCAGCCTAGATTTTCCATGGCCGTTCCCCTCAAGGTTCCTGCCTCCTGCCTCCTGCAACCAGCCCCTCAAGTCACAACCCAGCTGATGAAGGCGGAATCCAGAGGGAAGAGATCAAAACCAGCCTCTCTACACAGGCACTGTGCCTGTGGTCTGGGGTTGGGGACCCTGAGAGGTGGGGGCAGGAGGTAGGAGTGGGCCAGAAGGGAAGATAGCTGTTCACGAATAATGCAACCAGCCACAGGGAAGGCTTCTGTGGTCAGGCTCTCTCTCATCCCATTCTCGGCAAACACAATTACCTGTCCAAAGAATGCAGGGAGAAATGATGTGAATGGACATAGGTGTGTAAGTGGCATCCCCATAGCAAGAGACGGGGAAAGGCAGAAAAGGAAGCCCGGAGGCAAGCCAGAACACTCGGCACCAGGAATCTTTAACAAGAAAGAACAAAGAGAAAGCAAAGCTTTTTGCCGTCCCTGCTCTGGAAAACACGGGTGCCTGTGCAGACACCCCAGGCAGAAGAATCTTCTCTGGCAACTTGGAGAAGCAGCATAGAATATCACTCATGAGCCCAGGATGGACCCCAGGCCTCTGCATCAGGGGCAGCCAGGAACCTGTTGAAGGCGGCCTAGTGTGGAGCTCTGGGGGTCTCAACCTTGGGCCAAGCAGGAAGGACAGACCATGGTTCTGAATCGAGGACACAGGCAGGAGGGAGCTGCCTGCATGAGCTAGCAGGGGGCAGGAGTGGGCCCTGACTGCAAACTCTCCCCACCACAGTCTCACACTTCTCCGCTCAGTCAAAGCTGAGTCCTCTAAAAGTGAATTCTTTCCCAATTTAGAAACAACATGAGAATGAGGCACAGAAACACGGGGTCTTTAAGAAACTATTGCTGTTTCCTGCTGAATCCATTCTGGTCACCCCTTGGAGAGTCCAGCTCAGCCAGTAGAGAAGCGGAGGAGCTGTTTCCTAGCACACGCTGCTGGGTTTTTCTGGGCCAGCCACTCTCTCTGCTTTTCCCTTCTCTTCCTCTATCATCCTCCAATGACTGCTGCTTTTTGGTACTTTCCCTGAAAAGCCCCGGACTTCAGCTAGTCAGCTGCTAGCTTGGACCCAGTAACCACCAGGGGTGAGGCCTGCAGTCACATATTTAAAAGGTGGCTTGCGGGCGCCTGGGTGGCTCAGTTGGTTAAGCGACTGCCTTTGGCTCAGGTCATGATCCCAAGGTCCTGGGATCGAGCCCCATGTCAGGCTCCCTGCTCAGCGGGGAGCCTGCTTCTCCCTCTGACCCTCTCCTCTCTCATGCTGTTTCTCTCTCGCTCGCTCTCCAATAAATAAATAAAATCTTTAAAAAAATTAAATAAAATAAAAGGTGGCTTGCAGAGGAGGTCAGCCCCCAGACCCCCGAACCCCTCATCCCCCCTCACGCCCCGGTAGGGGCACCTGGACCTGTGGGCAGAACTTCCCATGGCTGCTCACAAAATGTCCTGCAAAGAAGTATCATTCAGTCCTCCTCTTAAACCTTTGGTACCTTCCCCTGTCCTCTTTTGCTTCTTAGTCTATATTCAATTGCCAAAAAAGGTTAGTCTCTCTGAAACTCTCCAACCCTCTACCACCACCCAACACCCCTCTTCTGTACAAAGTCCTCAGCAAGACACTGGTAAAGGAGAAAAGGACACGGACCCAAAGGAAAAAGTCTGCCAAGCTGAGTGCAAGAACAGCCCTTGGACCAGAGAGGAGCGGCCCCCAGAACCAGGAGCTATTTTGAAGCTCTTTCCCATCTCAGGACCTAGGTAGGGGTCAGGGGCTGGGGAATGTCAGGACTTGGGAGAAGGGGATGCTGAGATGGAGTTGGGGTGGGGGAGAGAACCAGCTATTATGATGCAATGTAAGAGAGAGAAATGTTAAGTTTTTTATTTAGGTTCAAAAAGCCAAGGTCCATATTTAGCCTGGGGTTTTCCTGGCTTGGCAGTTCTCATATGACTTCAGGTTACTGTGAAAAGAAAAGACAGTGTGGCTGCTATATAAAAAAAGGGAACTTTTTTTTTTTTTTTAAAGAACGCAGCATTCAGCCACAATAGTGGAAGCATCAGGTACGGGTCTCAGGGAAGAGTGATCTGTGTTCTTTTTTTTTTTTAAGATTTTATTTATTTGTGAGAGAGACAATGAGAGACAGAGAGCATGAGAGGGAGGAGGGTCAGAGGGAGAAGCAGACTCCCTGCTGAGCAGGGATCCCGATGTGGGACTCGATCCCAGGACTCCAGGATCATGACCTGAGCCGAAGGCAGTCGCTTAACCAACTGAGCCACCCAGGCGCCCCAGAGTGATCTGTGTTCTAAACCGCTCAGACAACATTGAGAATATTGTGTTTCATATGTGCTTATTTTAGAGGGCTGACTGGTGACAAACTAGCAAGTGTCCTAGAAAGAGGGTGAAGAGAGTGCTTTGATCTGGGAACTGTGACACTAAGACCCAGTGAAGGGAGCTGCGTGAGGACAAAGAACTAAAGGAAGATGCAGAATGACGGAAGCTCACGGCTCTGAGGACTTGTTCTAAGTCAACTCTGTTGTCTCACTGGAGACCTGGAGACGTACGGGTCATATCATCAAGGCCCTGAAGAGCTGGAAAGAAATTTATATGAAATCTGGGCTACTCCCATTTTACAGATGAGAAAACTAAGGCCAGAGATTTTAAGTGAGTGAATGAGGCCACAAAGCCAGACGTAGCACAACCAGGGCTAGAATTTAGTCCCTTGATTTTTACTCCAAGTCCCATCCTTACTCCAAGAGCACTGTGTCGTAACATTCTAGGGAGCTGTGAGTAGCGAAGGAGGTAGATGTGTGCTGTTGTGATTCAAAGAGCAACACAAGAATCTGCGGGGACGTCACGCTGAAGATGAAGAAAGAATTTCTGTGCCACCGAAGAAAAGAGTTTCCCAATCACCAAAACCCAAATCTGGCCAGGCCCTGGGGCCAGCTGCCCTGTGAGGTGATGAGCCCCCCATCCCCATGAGGGCTCTGGAAAGAAGAAGGGATTCTGCCGAGAGGTGGGAGACCAGTCTCCACCAAAACAAACATTCCCTGATTTCCATGGAGGAAAGGGGTCCCCACACACAAGGCCAGGAGGAAGATGAAGCCACAGTTAGAAGCAGGGTCAGTGGTCAGGAGGCTGAATTAGAATGGCAGCATGGGACAGCAGGAACAGGCCTCTGTCCCCTGTGGCCACCTCTCTTCCATGCTTAAAGGGCTCCCAGGTCTTCCTTAAGTAAACAAGGCTCACTCAAGTAAGGACAAAATCTGAAGTCAGAACTACTGGCCAAGACCAGTGTTGTTCTCATGCTCAAGGAAAACCCAGCAAGGTAATTACAGCTGACACTGAAGCAGGAAAGATCCTCGTTGGGCATAATGAAGATCTCCTTGACCTGCTGTAAGAAAGCACTGACTGACTGCAGCAGGAAACGTCCGGGCTCTGTCACTCCCCCCAAGGGCACACACAGCTCTCTGACCTGCAGGGCTCAGATGCTCAGGTCACCAGATGCTCCAGGTTGGGGATTCAGCCAGAGGGCCTTTCAAGTCTCAGGTCTGGCATTTCTAGACCAGTCCAGGAATGTTCTCAGCCACATCAGTGTCCCCAGGGGCCAACGGAAACCATCTGCCATGCCATAACCCCCAGGCTCTGCAGCATTTCTCTGCAGCTTGCATTTTGAGGTCTCATAGAGTGATCACTGCACATCTCCCTCCCTCCATCTTACTAACTATATCCTCAGCCACCAAACTCAGTCTGCTCACTGGCTTCTCTCCAAGGTAGAAAAAGTTTCACTCCTGAACCTCTTTCTCTATCCAGTGAGACTAATGCATCATGTGCATTGGAAAGTCCCTTTCAAGCAATAGTCAAAACTCTTCTTTTTTTTCTTGGAGTGCAGATAAGCTGGGAAAAGAGACAGTTCACTGCTTTGCAAGTTTCAGAGGTGAAAGTCACTGTCATGAAAAAAAAATTGGCAAAAAGTCTAGAAATGATTCACGCTGAGAAGTCTGACTGGTTGATTGCAAAAATCATTCACAGCCTGATAAATCATTTGCAAGGGAGAGACAGGGGAGGACTCAGAGTCTCCAAAGAGGAAAAGTAGGGTGGGATCCCTAGGGGGGCCTGTGCATTCTTGGCACGGCTGGTGTTACCTGGTGGCTACAGCTTTTGGTGGAGGAGGATGTACATGGGGGTGAGCAAACAGTTTGGCTGGAGATTCAAAGAACTCTTGGCATGACCAGACCACACAGTCCCAGGACAGGAAGCCCTCTACCTCTCCCTCCCCCATTTCTAGGGCTTCCAAGACAAACATCTCTATTAAGCAAAGGGGGTGGGGACTGGCCGGAAGAATGGGGAGCATAAGGGAGTTTAGAGCTGGACCAGGAAAATGGACATGGCCACTACTTGTTATGCAGACTGAAGTGCTCCCATCATTGCCCACCCCACCCCGTCCATCGAAGCCTCTGACCTTTGCCAAGAAGGTGGCGTTCCTGATGGCGCCCACCATTTCTCCCCCCTTGGGGTGCACCTTGGCCACGTGCATCCACATGCGCTCCCAGGTGTGGCTGTCGATGGGGAAGCCGCTCTTGTTAACGTGAAACAGCACCCCGCCGTCTTTGTCCTCTTCCTCCGAGCCCCCGCTGGTGGCGAGGCTCACGGGCCGCGCGTGGCTGCTCCGGGACCGGGTGCCTTTGGCGCCTTTGGGGTGGGGGCAGCGGTGAGTGTCGGCCGCGGAGCCGGTCATGGTGGGGCCGGGGCGGGGCGGGGGTGCGGGGGGCGCGCTGCGGAGGCGCCGGCGGCGGGGGGCGTGTGCGCGCGGGCGTGGCGCGGGGATCAGCGCCCCGCGGGGACAGCCTTCTCCATGCCTCTGGCTGCCGCAGGACGCGCGAACCGGGAGCGGCGGCTGGAGCTCCGCTTACCGGCCGAGCCTGAATCAGTGGAGACACAGCACACACCACGGGTAAGTGTACACCAGAGGAACCGAGGCGGGGGCCACTGTGTCCAACGGCGGTGGGGCCTCGGAGTGGCCCCGCGTCACTCCCCGCTCCCCCCACCCCGCGCGCCGACAGACCCCCTCCAGCAATTGCACACGAGCTTGCAGCCATGCAATTCCCGAGGAAGGCGACTCGAATTTTGCCCCAAAGCTTCACACACCCCTAGACACCGGGAGGGGGATCCAAGGAGCGTGGCGGGTGCGGAGTGGACGGGTAGGGAGAAGAAAGACAGCTCGTGCTGCGTGAAGGAGCAGGAGGTCCCCACAAGGCTCCACGCATTCCTTGGTGCCAGATGTGCCGGAACGTGCCGGCACGTGAGCGCCCGGGCTGCCGCGAGGGCGCAGCAGCAGCCTCGGCTTGCAAAGGCGGCCCCCTTGCCGCCCGGAGGCCCTCCCGGAGCCGGTGGGCGAGGGTCGGCTGCAGCCCCCAGGCGCCGGTGCAAGTGGCCCCATCCGCCCCTCTCCCCGAGTCCCAGCGCCAGGCACCCTGGGGACTGGCTGCGGGCGGGGCGCGAGGCGGGCGCGCCGCAGCTCCGGGACCCTACCTCGGGCCGGCGGGCCTCATGGCCGCGGAGCTTCTCCGGGCGGCGGGGGCGGCGGGGGCTGCTGCGGCGGCTGCGGCTGCTGGGCCTGGGGCTGCTGGGGCTGCTGCGGCCGTCGCCTCATTCCATGTCCCATTCTCGAATGTTATTCTGTGACATATAACCGAGTCACCGGGCAGCCGCCGATGTTCCGAACGCGTCCATTGGCCACCGCAACAAAGAGGGGCGGGTCCCGGGCTAGGGACTCTACAACCGGGAGCTCCGCGGCGCTCTGATTGGCTCCGGGGCTTCCCGGGCAGGAGGGGAGAGGAGCTGGGGGAGCTGGGCGGCCACGCGAAATCCGATCGCTGTCTTGTCCTGGGAGCCCCGCGGCGCTGGAGCGTTTGTCCATGGGACTTAAGACCGAGTTTCCCCAGGGAGGGTGGCACTGCGAAGGTCTGCGACTGTGGGAAGCAGAGGAGAAACAAAGCCACCCAAGAAGTGACCCCGAGGTATCGGAGGGCTTGTCCTTAGAACTTCGTTCCCTGAGGAAGGCTGGACACAGTCACCTGCCCCTAGCAGGGAGTGATGGACAGTTTAGGCAGGGGCTGTCACAGGAAGGCACAAAATTAATTTTTTTTTTAATCTCACATTACAAATTTTCCAAAACCAACAAGGGGGCACAGTGTGTACCTTCTGACATTAGTCATGATTAATAAATTCCTTTTAAACCCATGCTGATATGCGCCACTAAAACCCAGGAAGTCAGTGAGGCCCCAACTACTCTGTCACAGCTAGAGTTAGAGTAGGGGCTGGAGAGATGCTTGAAAGCCATGGTGAAGTGGGAGCTTTTCCACACTCTCCACAAAACACTTTTGCCTTACGAACACCTTTTTCTTTTCTTAAGATTTTATTTATTGGGGCGCCTCGGTGGCTCAGTCGTTAAGCGCCTGCCTTCGGCTCAGGTCATGATCCCAGGGTCCTGGGATGGAGCCCCACATCGGACTCCCTGCTCTGCGGGAAGTCTGCTTCTCCCTCTCCCACTCCCCCTGCTTGTGTTCTCTCTCTCACTGTCTCTCTCTCTCTGTCAAATAAATAAAATCTTTTAAAAAAATAATAAAGATTTTATTTATTTTGGGGGGGAAGGAGCAGAGGGAGAGGGACAAGGAGACTCCACACTGAGCAGGGAGCCAGATGTGGGGCTTGAGCCCCCAACCGGGAGATCATGACCTGAGCTGATCACTCAACCTCCTCAGCCACCCTGGCACCCCCTCCCTTTTTTTTTCTTAAGAAAAAGAAAAGAAAACTGAGATGGGAGAGCACCAGACTACTGACCCAGGGCCAGGCTCTAAGTCCAGGTTTGTCACTTGGCCAAGTTGTGTGACCCAGGACAAGCCACTTGCCTGTTCTAGGCCTTAACTTCTCTTTCTGAAAAGAGTAGAGTAGAACACCCCCCACAAACTCACACACACACACACACACACCAAGTTCTTTTTTTTTTTTTTTTAAGATTTTATTTATTTATTTGACAGAGACAGAGACAGCGAGAGCACGAACACAAGCAGGGGGAGTGGGAGAGGGAGAAGCAGGCTTCCCGCTGAGCAGGGAGCCTGATGTGGGACTCGATCCCAGGACTCTGGGATCATGACCTGAGCTGAAGGCAGCCGCTTAACGACTGAGCCACCCAGGCGCCCCACACACCAAGTTCTATTCTGGCTCTAAGGTTCTGTGATTCTCTGGTTTCCTCTCTCAGGGACACTCAGGAACGTGGCCATAATATCCTTTCTCTTTACACTCCCTGCCAGCTTTGGGAGGGTAAGCAGTTGCGGTAGCAATGCTAAGTTAACCTGGAATTAAGAACGTGGTCATCAAAGAGCTACTGATGGTGGAGGGCATGGTGAGTCGCCAGTGCAGCAAAAGCCCTGGAGTACAGCTGAGAGCCAGGCACTGCACACGGAGACCTGGGTTCTGGAAAGTGAGAACAATAATGTAGGTCCATGCAGACAGCAAGAAATGGGCCGATTCAGGAAATCATCTGAATGATGCAAGTGAAACAGAACCCTTAAAAAAATCAGGAAACTGAGAGAAAATTATCCTCTCACCATATAATTGTCTCAGGTTTCATTTCTCCATTGAAAGAACACATGCCTCAGTGAGTGTTCTGCTTTCTCATCTTGAACATCCTTCCTCTCTGCTCACTCATCTCTCCCATCCGTCCCTCTCTCCTTACTTCCTCTGAGTTTCAAGTCCAGGAGGCGATATGAGGATGAAGACCTGTGTGCACAGGATGAGAATTTGGCCTCACAATCCTGCAGGAGAAAATGGAGCTCTCAAAGCCCAAGTGATCAGTTGGCGAACATTGAAGAATGTCTGGCAAGTTTCACCTTCCTTGGCATCAATTCCTAGTGTCCCACTCAGGCCAAGTCCAAGCAAGTACAATTAACCTGTTATACCAGGGCCTGGATCCTGCTCTACCTGAATCAAATCCTATGGACCAGAGAGGGTCATCAGTTCATGTTTCCACTCCAGGCATCCCAGAACTCCCTGAGAGTTGGGGGAAAAGCTTTTGTTGGTCATCTCCAAAATTCCATCTGTCTGTTCTCTTCTTCCCTGGGGGCTGGGTGCAGTTGGGGCCCAAGTGACATGGCATATGAAGAGAACTAGGAGATTTGGCTACTTTTCCTGAAAGGTGCTAAGAAGGCTTCTGAAGTGAACTGTGCTGTCCCAGCAAAGGACTGAGAGGCAGAGGGCCCTTTTGTTGAGAATTCTTTTGCATTAGGGAATTGTGTTCATTGCATGGACCAGCCAACTCTATTCTTAATATCCTTGTGTATTTAGTGTTATGTAACACTGAACCCAGGCCAGACAGATGATGGGTTTTGAAAGTTCAAATAGTAAGAGTGACATGGCTATATATATATATATATATATATATATATATACACACAGTGGGACGGAGCCAACTTTTGATTTGAACAGGGACGTGTGGTGACTAGAGGCTCAACCTCCGAGAGCATTTGTGGACATAATGACTGGAATAGCAGACATGTGTAGTGGAAGGTTTGGAGCAAGAAAAACGGGTCAAGGGGTGCCTGGGCGGCTCAGTCATTGGGCATCTGCTTTCGGCTCAGGTCGTGATCCCAGGGTCCTGGGATGGAGCCCTGCATCGGGCTCCCTGCTCAGCGGGAAGCCTGCTTCTCCCTTTCCCACTCCCCCTGCTTGTGTTCCTGCTCTCACTATCTCTCTCTCTCTGCCAAATAAATAAATAAAATCTTAAAAAAAAAAAAAGAAAGAAAGAAAAACGGGTCAAATAGTATCTCCTTTTTCAAGTGCCAGCTGCTGAGGTCTCAAAGATATTTCAGAGAAAATCCCACCTGAGGGATCGTATTTCTAGCTCCACCGCTCGTTGATGTTAATAGCCTCCGAACACACAGTGGCTAGACCTCGCCTTTCTCCATCGGAGCGGCTAGATGATGCATCTTAAGCAATCAAATCTTTTTGATCAATGAGAAACAGGAGTTGGGAGGGAGCTGGGCAGGTAAGTCCGCTTTCCGTCCTCCCTTCTGCGGACAACTCTGAGGCATGATTTTCCAGCAAAGCCTGTCTGGAGATGGCCTGCACGGCTGAGCAGACATCCCTATTGAGGGACCTGCCGCGGCTCTCGGCAGCCGGTCCAGAAGCAGCTACCAGTGTGAGAACACCCCACCTTGCAATCCTTCTCATCCTGTCCTCTCCCGGTTCCCTTTTTTGCTCACTCTGGCTGCCTTCCCCAGCAGATTTACTCGTTGCTTCAGATTCTGCTTTTCTAGGGAAACTGAGCTAAAACAATTGGTTCCACAAGTGGTTCTGGAAAGCACATGCTCAGGATGGATTTAGGGCTTGTATTGCCTCCCTGTCTGAAATCAGTAGAACCCTTTGCTGGTGACAAGAGGGAAGGCAAGAACTCTGATACGCAGGAGCACCTCAGCTTTCACTTGTGTTTAATTGGGGTGAATTTGGTGGAGAGCAAGACATTAGGAGATCGAGTGGCTGTGGCAGTCAATCAGTTTGGAAACAATGATAATTATAAGGTATGAGAGACTTTGGAAACAGAAAATGACAGGCTCAGCGCAGTTAATTACCCGCTCATGGAATGCTCTGAAAGCCAGAGAGCCTCCACGGCATGTTTAAGAGTCTTATTTCCTGCAACCGTAGTAGAGACTCTTAAAATCAAACCCAGGACCTGATCACATAGTAGCAGAAGTGCAAAGGATTCTAAATACATGGTCTTCACAGGCTTCCATGTGAGAGTCAGAGCCCTGATAGGGAAGAGTGGGACCCAGGCTCCTGGAATAGGGCTGTCTCAGTGGATGAACATTCTTGACCCTTCAAATCCCTTGTGAATGCTCCTGCCCAGAGAAGACCTCCTTCTCCATGGCTTGCTCTCCTCAAGACCACTTATTGCCTCCACCAATACCCAGGGTCAAATGCTAGCAGAGCCCACACTGGAAAGAAGAAGTCCCACTCCAGGGAGAAACAGCATCCCGGCCAAAAATATTGTAGGGCTTAGCTAACATGCACTGGCAGGAACTGTGGAAACGTATGTGGATCCTGAAGATGTTATATTTGGGGGGTGGGTGTGGAGGGGAAAGCAGAAAGCTCATGGGGAGAATTGACTGATTTGGGGATACCCCTACAGAACTCAGCATTTAATGTTTTAGCAAGGATGCCTGGAGCTTGTCCTAATCCCCTTGTTTGTTTGGTTGGGTCTTTGAAGCCTGGGCTCAACAATAAGCAAAGTGGAAAAAGCAGACTTCCTTGTATAGTGTAGAGGAAGGCTCAGAAGAGTCAGGAAGGAGGGAATAGTAGAAGGTTTTATTAAGTAAAGTTCAAGGACCGATCACCTGACTAGTTCTGTGGGCCAGCCACTAGGACACTCACTTCACTAAGGCAATAAAGGATGCACGAATAAGGAGGCAGTTGGTAGTGGTTATCCTCATAGTCCAGGGGTGATGGTAGGCGGAAGGGTGCTGTATAAGTGGGCTGCCTACTATTAGCAAAGATGACAAAAATCCCCAAATTGCAGAGGCGAGGTGGGAGCACTTAATCAACAAGGACAAGGTGAACATATCACAAGAGACAGCAGGGTAGAAGAGCGATCAGGGTCACTTTCTCTGCATGGACTCATGCTGGCTAATAGATCATGGTGTTCCTAAGGGACGGGGATTCATATAATTTATTGTCC